TGCCAAATCTATACTTCGCTATTGTCAGACCACAATTACCTTTTTAGTATGTTGTTATACTTATTTCATAATGATATATTCATTGCAGTTACCAATACGTTGTCACGAACCATAATTACCTATCCAGTATTCGAGGATTTTGAAACACATATTGTAGTAATATGTGATACCTAAAGAAAGTCATCCCGCAGTAGACAAACCTGCTTAGTTATCATATAGTCTGGATAGTCTTTTACACAATAAATATGTGTTATGATATTCCATACGGAATCGTATTAACCTGATAGGAATTATAGATATTGTTAAAACCATTATAAATGGCGCTTGGTAATAGTTAATCAATGGTCGGAGTGAGTCAACTTGTCTTCAACAGAGACGATTAACTTTGAGATATTCCAGAAACCGTTGACGATTAGTAAGTTATTTTCAACTCAATACACTGTCTCAAGATATATAGAAACCAGTTAGACCAATGGAGTTTTTGACCTAGAACAGTAAAGACTGTCCCAGTAACTCAGTGGATTCGATGTGTTGGTGATTTGGTGATTCGATGGGGGCATTGGTTGGAATAATGCCTTCGGAATTTTCAACCAGATTTTAGCCATATCAGCGAATCAGCTTTAGGGGGCTGTCATGAAAACAACCTGTAGTCGTTCCGAATTGATAAATCGAGGCCCGAATTCTTGCTTGAAATATCACCATTAGGGAGATATCCCAACAAAAACAAATCCAGTGTCTTTGGCTTCGCAAGCCGTAGCTGTACATCTAGTATGTTATGTTGGTCTCCAGCGACCTTCGGCTGTTTATCTTAGCGTATGCTGATCTGCACCAAAAACAAGCTGTTGTATTTATTCAGAATCTGTGAATATTTCTGAATTATAATCAAACACGGAGTATAGTGTATACATCTACAATCTTGGGCTATTTCTAAACCATATCATATTGATTTTTGACTAGTTCCCCTAAACCGTTGGGATTTCATGCTACCAGTGGAAGTAAATTATAGCTGATGGTTACATAAATACGTGAAAGCCGGGTATATGACGACCAATAATGCTCTTCCTATTGATTTGGGACAAAATAGTAAACCATAGTTAATATAGCCTCCTTAACACTTGATAAATATTGAATTATAATTTATAAGAGATATAGTAGGAAAATGTCTTTCATATACATGTATAATGAATTGGAATACCGTCTGCTATAGTTAATAATAGGTTCTTTTCGGGGGATTAGCCACCATGATTTGTTCATTTTCTAATCTTAACTTCCAAAATGATTTATATATAGGTCTAGAAATAAGGAATACAGAAAGTTTGTGTTCTTGTGCTCATGGGCAAACTTAGCCTATTCCCTTACAACAAATTGCTGCTTTACAGTGTGTGTTGTTATTTAACCCTATATTTAAAAGATCTAGTTAGAAACAGGAAACAGGAGATATGAAGTATGAAATTTACAAAGATCACTTTTCAAAAGGATATATATAAATTGTCAATAAAAAATACACGCCTCATTTTGAATAATACTGCATTTCTGACAACCTGGAAACCAACAACTTATCTGCTGGAAAATTTAATTTCCAGTTTGGCGTCCATCTTCACAATTTCACTAGACTTATCTATTGCTCTGTGACCTAGGCCAGTGCTTTCATTGAGACTCGTCTCAATACACCCTAACACTAATCTTATATCAGGGAATGTAGCTATTTTATTGGATTGAACGCAAGCTTGATGATCTTCGCTCACCAGAAAGTCTGTAAGCAATAAGCCAAAATAGTTATAGTCTTTATGGCAAGGGCTCTGATTGGCTGTATCCTGTAGCGTACAATCCACACAACTAGCTGCATTCCATGACGAAGTTCTTAATTGCTCGATATTGTGAAAATGTTTGGCGTCATGTCCCATTCAATTTATCAATCCTACACATTGGAAGAACAGACAAGTTCTTTTGATAGATGACCATGCTATGTAAGGTTATATATGGGTCAAATCTATCTATATGGAAGAGAAAACTATAATTATAATCTGACACTAGTTTATGTTTCAGGTAGCTTTTATTTTAAGTCATATCACGTTGCACAATTATATTAGTGTTAGTGTAACCAGCCTTTATTACAGCTACCTCTCGTAACTCTTTTTAGAATAAAAATAGGATGTTTAGTTAGCTATCAATTAATTTAACACGAATTTCAACGAAGTCATAAACATTATAATAATGTTATGATATCTTTTATTGGTTGCCCATGTCTTAGAGTAAAATTAAAGACCTACCAATTTGAGATCAAATTGATTTGATGTATGATTTCTGAAAAATGATATAGATGTAAACACTCCAACTTTGTTATAATTTAATATAAACGACCGTGCCCCCTAAATACAACTGTTAAAATATGACCATTCCACTAAAGGCCTCATTGTAATGAATAGGCATAAATTGATAGAACACAAGCGTCCAGTGTAAAACTTTTTCTGTAAGAGAAACCTATAATTATATACTGATCATGTGTCTAGTCGTAATGGTTGATTTTAAGGTTAAGTCCAGTATGTGACGTATATAGTTATATTGATTATTGCTCGGTTTAGATTCATTCTACTACTTCTCTTCAAGTATTTCTACATCATTTGAACTAATGTCAGGAATTTTCACGACTGATTTTTCTCTTTTTTTCTGCTGAGCTGGCAGAAATTCGTTAACTGTTCCATATAACGTTCTTTGTGAAACTGTCTATTGATTGTGGATACTTTTCGCGGTGATAGTAGACCGACACTAGAGAGTTGGTTTTAGTCTGTAATAAGCGACAAATCGACATGGCAGTAACATGTTTGGTTCTAGCCAACATATTATATGAATCTAGGGCTTAGAAAAAATATTTAGGTCTATCTTTCGTATACAGAGATTAACAATTTGTGCAATAACGCATTTGCGAAGTTTTTACTAAGCTTTCCATGGGACACCGGTTCACATCAAAATCACTGATTCAGATAATTGATTTAACTTGAAGTTTTGACTGTTTGTACTTAATGGTGGTATTTTCATTTCCAAATTTCACCCGGATAAAAATTTTGTTTTGGTTTGCAAACATCTAGCAGAACGGAGTAAAAAAAATTATAACTATGCTATAAATATTTAACAAAAAAACTTTATTGCCGCGCTCTTCCTTTTCGCCTCCTTGTTCCCACTTCCCCTTTTCCCTTTTCACCTCTTTCTAATTCGGTTTTTCCCATTTTCATTGAATTCTTTTTAAAGGGATTGGACACATATTATAAAAACTTGAATTTTCTCCTGAACAGTATGAACAAGACAAAAAAATAAATAAATAAATAAATAAAAAACACCGACATTAAGTGGAATTCGAACCCGGAACAAGCATAATAATTTTTCTTAAGTGATCTTAGGTAGAAAGTAGTGACACGGGGAATGGATAAAAAGAGGGGGGGGGGGGGAGGGAAGCGGCGAAATGGATAAGAAGGGCGGCGGGGGGATTGGGAAGGGGCGATATGAGAAGACATCGCAGACAACAATTTCACTTCTTAATATGTTTCACAATCAAAGATTAGGCTCTATCTCACATTTTGAAAGTAATTTACGTAAATGTGATCCTATTTAAAAACAAATTTATGCCTACACAAATCAAAACATATTTAAATACTATTTTAAAAGATTTCGCTCGATGCTCGGGAATATAAGTCATTCCTGTTTGGTGATATTACAGTCAAGTAACCTAATTTCGTGGAAACCTATTATTCGTGGATTTTCGGAAATGTTTAATAATTTACATGTGCGACCTTGCGTGACCTCCGCATTAGTTTGTTTAAATAAACATGGGTTTTCTCTACAATATCAGCTAGTAGAATGAATCCAGTAGTTTCAAGCAAAGTAAAATGTATTAATGTATACTTTGACAAATACAAAATGGCGGATTTCAGTTATTACCAAACATCACCATTTTTTATCGTCCGAATTTCCTTATAATCCTATGCGGTAATCGGAATTCCAAGTGTCGTCTGCTAGAATGTATTCCAACGAATGAAGTCACGTGATCAACTAGCGGATTCCGTGTCAGCAGAAAATTTCTATGGAACACAAAGTGGACCATATTGTTATGTTGTTTCAGTGACTTTTAGCAATAAATCGCGCTATTTATCATATTTTGTCAGTCACTTTTTTTTTAAATCGTGGTTCTTTGAAGGAATTGTCACTAGTTATAATGAATTGATATTAAAGATAAATACTAGGAGAAGTTAATTATACCACCCGGTATCCATACAACGTGTTTTTCTAGACTTATTTATAGATCAAACATTGTACACGAAAATAGGTGACGCAGTCTGCCGCCGTTGCCGAGTTGGTTGCTCATGAAATATAGGTCAAAGTGAAGGATTCATAAAGAAAATCGAAATAAACCAATTTTAATTATTTTGTAGAATATCTGAGGCAACATAAAAAATTTTTTTCGTTTTTTTTATCTTTGACAAAATTCCGTGTTGAATCCTTATATCCACTAAAATAGGTTACACCACTGTATTATTTACGATAAACGAGAACATCGATGTGTTCTGACGGTTTTTAATTGATTTATGAATACAACCCCTTTACAACTCTTCATAAAGAAGGTCCATTAAACATTATTGACCCCTGACCCCTGTGTTGATATCGATTGAAGTCAGAATTTGCCTGCTGTGTTGGAATTGATTTCTACTAATACATTTTCTTACCAAATAATAGAGTTTCTCTTTATTTTATTGTAGGGGGAAGAAGAGTCGATGGAAAAAAGTCCTGACAGGCATAAAACTACACGAGAGAAAACCGAAGACAAACGTTCAAGAGTCAGTTCTTCCACGAAAGCCAGTGCAGACGACGTCGAATCAAAATATAAGAGATCTCAACATGGAGTAAGCTCTACTACCACACCAACTCAGGCGTCTAAACCTAAGTTATTTGCTGGTGGTCGCAGTAAATCAAAGCCTTCCAATGGAGCTCCTGAAATGGGAATAAAAAGTATGGAAATACTAGATGAATCATACGTTGTTCAAACTGTAGAAATTATAAAAAGACCAGGTCAAACACTGGGATTCTACATTCGAGAAGGAAATGGTTTTGATAGACAAGATGGAGTCTTTATTTCTCGGATACAAATGGGAACGGTAGCAGAAAGTAATGGATTATTACATGTTGGTGATGAAATTGTGACAGTAAATACTGTGTCTGTGACTCACATGTCTTTAGATGATGTGGTGATTTTAATGTCAATTCCTAAAAAATTAGTTTTAACAATTCGGACTAGAAGAAATTGCAATAAAAATAAATCATGTCCCTCCCTTGCCTTAACAGAACGGGAAGAGGAACCTACACCTGTGGTTGTGTTAAAAAAGGGTCGCTCAAACTCGGCCTCAGCTTTAGAAATGACAGAAAAGTGTCCTGATGATTTTGACCCTTATGCTCATATCCCCCATCATTTACATCAAAGTGAACACATGAAGAAAGATACTTGCCAAGATAAGCCTACCTCATCTCGGTATGCCAGTATTTTTATCTCACCCCAAAGAGCAGAAGCCAGACTTGTGCCAGATGAATCAGGAATGGACAGTGGGGGATCAAGTGATGGATCATTACCTAGGAGTTTAGACTTATCTGTGAATAGACATGGTCAAAAACCTACCCCAGCATTAGAGGCGTCTATAGACAGTCCTGGATCATATATCAGTCCATCATCAACGATTTTAGGACAATATAGTTTTACAGGTGATAGAGATTATTATAAATACTTATTACCTGAAAGTGTTGCAAGACCAAAACCACCGATGAAATCTCCCTCTCGCCCTCCCATTGTGCCCCATTCACAACCCCGTATAATAGATGACCCCCACGCTATATATGTAAATGTTGAAGCTCTATATGGAATGCCTACATCTCATCATAAAGATTATGTATCCTATCGTGGATATGAAGAAAAGAAACAACCAGAACGATTTCGAGATATGATACAATCAAAGACAAGATATGGACGTTTGCTACGGAGTCGTTCGCCTGAATGTTATAACTCAGATTCGGAAGTGATTTATTCCCATCCTCGACAAGTGGATCCCAGAGGATTTGCTTCAGATTATGAGGCGTACACTGGTGCAATAAGTGATGATGATGGTCCTGTTTATTCTGTCCCCCACATTCCAGCAAGTAGCAGTTCAGAACTGCACCATTTACTTAAAAAATTCACCACATTATCTCAGGAACTACAACAAGAGCAAAGTAAACTGCAACGACAACTATCTGCCAGAGATAAATCTAGTAAGTACCAGTTCTTTTTTTATTTTTAATATATATGTTGGATTGAAACCTATTTTCAATGAATTTTTCAATCATACACGTCTGAACTAACAGCATGAGGAATCAGGGTGGCTCACTCTCAGTAAGGATGATACAGTACTTACTAGGGTAGGAATCATGGAGCCATCTAATAGAACAAGGTAATAGTTTACGATTTTACATTTGATAATAATGTTCCAGGGAAGCTAACTTGAACTTTTGTTTAGAATCCTTTGACTCCAATAAAAAAAATGTATGTAATGTTTTTATAGCATCTACAGAATTTCTACAGGTTATGTCCTTATTTAAAAACTACTAACATGAGATTGAATGGATAATTGGATATATTGAGGGTGAAACATCAAAATTCTTCTAGAGCTTTCCTTTGAGATATTGATTTGAAATTTCTGGTGACTTTATAACAGTGACCCAAAATTAAACACACTGTCTGTGGGCCTAGAAAATGGGCTTTTGCTTCTTTTGGAATCATTCAGTTAGTTTCAGATTTTTAGAACTACAGACTTATTAAGTTACAATGCATTTACATATTATATGTTCCAGTACTGGGTATATCTGAATAGTAAGGATTGGTTTGTAGTGAAGACAAAAATCAGTTACAAATCATACATTTCTCTCTAAGCCTTTAATATGATAACAAATGCCATTTATATTGGTGATATTAGCTTGCTGTCTATACAATATAATTATAAAGTTCACATAGTGCATTAATGTCTTGAATTATTCATATTCTTGCTATAATTAGAGATTTTGAATCTGTTTGATGATGGAATACAATTATAGTGATATTGTGGATGTATTAATGGGTAATACTTAAGATCAGACATTATACATTAGTCCTTGTATAATTGCTTGTTACTGAAATATCTGTATTCTGATGTGTGTTGTCTAGATATATTTTCTTTGAAAGACAATAGAGCCGAATTTCATTTGTCAGTATCACGTGTTAGAGTGGTATTCTTAATCGTCTCTTATTTCAGAAATATGTCAGCCCGGTAGAATCAAAAAATTAAAAAAGACCCCTAATATGGTTACTTTTAGGACGATTCTGACGTGATACCCAAAAACATTTTTTCATGACAAATACTAAGCTAAATACATAATATCAATGTAATATGTAATGTAATATGTAATGTAATATGTAATGTAATATGTAATGTAATATGAGGTCGAAATATTTGATTCTTCAAAAATAATCATGGAATGAAAATACACAACTTTTACTGGTGTTATTGAATAGATTTATTTTTACTAATATGTATGTTTCATTGACCTATGACCTTTGGGACTACCCAATGGTACTGGTGTAATAAAGAATGATCTTCTAGAGAAATTAGGTCAACTTTATATATTTACTGTTAGATGTTCCAAATGAATTTAAATATTTTCTGTTAGATTTTGTCTGCTCAGCACCATAGTCCAAGATGCCTCATTAAATTGAGAATTCCCTGCTGGTTTGAAGAGGAAGTATTGTACAAGAGTTAGAAATTATTTATTTATAGTCTTGACTAAATAATCAATCTGAGCAGTATACTTTCTAATAGAAAATATAGACACCATTGACCTTACTAGTGGTATTATAACAAAAATATATCATTCATCCCAAAGCTTAAAAAACAAAAGCTCAATCTATGCATAATGCATAAAAGAATTTATATGTCATTGTCAGTTAAAGGCATATATAGTTATTAAGCACATGATAGAGCTCAATCTTTAAGCTTACATTTACAGAATTAAAATCTGGTTTTTGGACTGGTGTCAATTCAAGTCCTCTATTAACATTCACATACAATTATGACTGATGAATATTAACGCTGGACTGAATTTGGTCTGAATATTTTGTTTAAAAAGTTATTATCCAGCTAATATTATGCATAAAAGAAATTTACAGTAAAAAATTGATTTCGTGACCCTTTCAAACACCTATGCATGTCAGCCCCTCCAACCATCACTGAAAGTATCATTAAACTATATACCATAGCTTTCATATTACTATTGAAATCCACCTACTTCTAGAGGTTTTACATTATTTTTTTATATCTATTAAGCCTACTGCAGAAAAATCATTGAAATTTCACAAACAATATAAACAGTAGAAAATAGAAAGATTTTTATATGACTCATTCTGTTATGCACATTCTCTGCACTTTGAAGAAAAAACATCCAGTATTTTTAGTCCATGGAATTAGCTTTATTAAAGTTTTCTGACTTGATGTCAAAGACTTGCTCAGTAATAATTTATTTAGAAATCAATGGATCCATAGCAACCTGGTACATGTCTTCAATGTAACAAATGTATTTTAAATATACTAGAATGAAAGGAAATTTTCTCATTAAAAACATTTCAACATGGTCTAGATATTTTTAGATGTAAGGCCACTATAAAATAAATTATTTATCTTGAATCAAATTTCTGGTATTTAACAAATATTCAGCATGTAATTTTTCAAAGATTTTTATTTGCTGTAGAAGTTTTAGTATCAATAGAAATACAACATTTTATTATTTAAAATATACATGCCACCATTACTCTTCTTAGTTTATATTTTATATTTTTTTGTATAAGAAATTTTCTGTCAAAAAAGCGTTTTAAAGTCATAGCAATGGAAAAAAAATATTGAAAAGATATACTTTTGGTGTAAAATAGAAGTCTACAGAAAATAAAAAGTACCAACTTGAAGATGGACAAGAGATTCAAACCGTTAGCTTATTAAAGTGCTGAAATTGCTGGACACCATAATTTTTTTAAGCATTTCACAGTCTTCTCAATTTCCTGTCATTTGTACATGTTCTCATGCTCAATAGCATTTTTTTTCAAATAAGCTGCTGTGAAGGCGAATTCCACTTTATCAAGGCTATATTTTGAAAATAAGGTTTGTTGAACCAATATCTTCTATATTTTCAGGAACAGCAGTGATGTCATTACCTCGTCCAGAAGCTAATTTATCAGACGATCATTTACATCGACCTTCAACTTCGGGTCGGGGGTCACCAGGTCCATCACGACGTGTAGCTTCAACACAAACGCCTGGTCTACATCCTCGCTTACAACGTAAAACCAGCCAAGATTCTCCATTAGCATATAGAACATATCAGTTAGATGATTCCACAGACGGTCATGGTGAACCTCGATATGCTAATGTTCTACCAATTTCACGTAGTGGAATTCTAAGTGGAGCTATGCCTCTATCTACCTCACAAGCTAGTTTTACATCAGAACGGTCTAAAAGTGTTGAAACAAATGTTATACGTCCAACACGATTCAAAGATTTACAGTTTACCAAAAAACCACTTCACATACCATACAGTGAATTTGAACCATATAAGGCAGATATACGAAAACGTGTGGAAACTAGTCGTATTTCGGGTTTGGATGGGTTGCTCATGATACATATTATGTCAGGTCAAGGGTTAAAGTCTTCTAAAACTACTTTACGTGATTTATATTGTGTGGTGGCAGTAGACTCTGTGAATAAAGCTCGAACCATGATCCGTACTGGTGCTATTAATTTTGATTGGGACGAGGCATTTGATGTAGATTTAGAAGACTCCAAAGAAGTTTCCTTTTTAATTTATCATTGGGATCCAAATTATAAACATCGACTGTGTTTTCATGGATCTGTCCTACTACCAGGATATGTCCAAAGTGGTCATAAAAAGTATGTGGCAATAAAAATGGAACCTAAGGGTATTTTATTTCTTACTTTATTATATAAAGAACCATCTATCTCCTTACAAAGACTGCCATCTGTCAGAAAGAATGGTTTATTTGGCGTGGAATTAGAGACTATAATAAAACGTGAAAGTACAGGATTATGTGCTCCTTGTATACCTATTATAGTACAAAAGTGTATTGAGGAAGTAGAGCGCCGTGGGTTAGAAACTATAGGTATTTATCGACTTTGTGGATCAGCACGAAGAAAAGCTATGTTGAGAGAAGCATTTGAGAAGAATGCCAAAGCTGTAGATTTATCTCCTGAGAATATTTCTGATATTCATGTTATAACAGGTATAAGCTTATATTATATTTATTGTAACATAGGGAATTTGAGCTATTTTCAACCGTTAGAAGCAGAGTTATTGCCCTTGCCCCAAAATCTTGAATTTTTACCATCCGCATGCCATGGTGGCGTATATGGCTGTGGTCCACTATCATTTTTTATGTGTACCAATATCATTTATGGTTTCTATTTGCATCATTTCAATTTTCAGAAGTCTATTGTTCCTGTACTTATAGAAATGCTTAACCAGAAATGGCATCACCATTGTAAATGTTTCTGATAATATCTAAAGAACTTTGCAATAGCTGTGTCTTAAAACGTTGCTAAAACCACAGACATGTTTGAAAATTGGAATGGTGCAAATCAATGTTATGCTATGGCCTTGATGCACATAAAAAAATTGATAAAATTGCTTTTCAAGTCATTCTTTATATAAAGATGGGTTCCCTCTTTCTCATTGATGAAAATGAAATTGCTAATTCTTATATGAATAGAAAGTAGAGGTGTTTTAATGACTTGGAAAAATACCAGTTTGTCTCACATGTCCATAATTAATTCATAATTAGCTAAGTTAGAAGAGAATTACCCGCAGAATTCCAATGAGTGGCCGATCAAGAAAGGTCAAAAAGTCTTTTTTTTTGTTTATCCAGACTGTACATACCTGGACATTTATGATTGGTTAAAACTCTAAATTATATGCAATAAGAACATAATGATATGATTAAGAATACATGATAATTCATTAGAAACACCAATCAATCAAATAGTCTGCTTAATTTAACACTAAAAAATAAGGAAACCCATCTTAAAATCATTTACATTAATGTAGACATCCAAAATGACTCCTTACTGTCAACAAATAGTGGTAGATATGTGTTTACTAGGAGAACGGATTTTGTTAGTTAGAAGCAAGTCAGCCCCGTATTCTGCATTAATATTAATGATAACCTTGTAAAAGAACCTTGAAGGCTTACCCATTAGATATCCTGGCAATATAAAGTCCAACTTCAAAACAGATCTAGATAGCTTCTTTAGATATTTGAACCTAGTTCCCTGAAGTCATTGATGTAGATCTGAGAGATGTTTCAATCAACAGAGGAGATATGTACCATATTTCACATTCTAGCAAAATTTACTATTTTACAGTGCATTACAGGACATAAAACTGAATATTAATTTGTTTCAGGTGTCCTTAAAGATTACTTACGTGAGCTTCCAGAACCATTATTTACCAATGCTCTCTATCAAATGTTAATGGACGCATTAAGTGTTCGTCTACCTGGTGATCCTGAAGGTAGTGCAACATTGATGCTGAGTGTGCTGGAGTGCCTTCCACAAGCCAATCAGGTATCGGTAATTATCACTTTTTATATCTATTTTACTTACTCTACCTAGTTTTATTGAATTATTGGAGTATTATGAAATGAGGTAAGTCCACTGAATATATACTCTTATTGGTGAAGTTTTATGTTCATATTAAGAGGTAATATAACTTTAAAGTCAAGTTTAAGGAGGTGTTACTGGTACCTCTACAATTATGATTTTACAATATTTTGCAAAGGGAGACACATTTTTCGCCAATTCTTGTTATTATGAAGTTGGTGCTTACAGTCACTTTAAGTCTTTTATTGTGTACATTTATTGTTGCAGGAAACCATGACCAAAGTGCTGAACCATCTAAAACGGGTAGCTGCTAATAGTGATAAAAATAAAATGACTTTAGATAATTTAGCCATTTGTTTTGGTCCAGTTTTATTGTGTCCGTCACCTATCACTTCAAATGAAGCTGCATTAGATTTTAAAAAACATATAGAAGTATTAAAATATTTGTTAGAAATTTGGGATGAAAACAGTAGTAGTAGTAAGTATCTTTCTATCATCAAATTTTTTAACATTTAAATATGGAAATTGTTGAAGTTTGAATCAAGAAGAAAACAAAACTAATGGTAAAATTACTTGAATAGGAAAGAATAACAATAAACCCTTTTTTTCTAGGTTTATCTAAATCTCCTACAGCTGAAACTGTTGTTTCTGTTGACATTAAACCAGACCAAGAATCAGAATTTCAACAACAATCACAAGCACAACAACAACAACCATCTGATAGAAGTTAATATAAGTGGTATTAGGTTTTTTTAATCATATTTTTTCTGTGTGTAATATTGGATATATTTTGCTTTAGTTTAAGTAAATCAACAACCTAGATTTTTTGTTATGAAAAAGTCTTGATTGGTTTAACAAAAATTTGTTACAAGTTTTTGCCTAATATATTGGTAAATTGGTCCTTCATTGGAGCTGTTTTTTGATTCTGTCCCAAAAATAACAATATCTTGAAATGGATGTGTTCCTGTAAGTAATTTCTGTTGAACCTTTCCCTCATTGAACTGGTTCTTTAAAAAGTACCATGCTTAATTGTGGTATAACTTAATTTTGGTGATAACCTACATTAACAATTGAAAACATTATTATGTGGATTGTTAATTATAATATTTTTAAGACACTGAAGATCTGTAATGTTTCTTATATTTTCCTATAAAATAAATGTTTTAGTATAAAGCTAAGTATTTAGTTATAATGATGTAGATAAAGCTATAACTTTGTTTTGTTATTGTATTTAAATGGTCTGTGATAACAATGTATAGTATCTGATTAGATTTTGTAATGAAGTATTTTATTAGTAGTATTATGTTAACTTTGAAAAGCTTGAATGTACACTAGAGTTTAGTTGCCAGACATGCCTTCACTGAAGCCAATTTGTCATTTCTACACTATGATGACAGTGGAGTAGCTTGGCTCCTGGACCTGGTTTACATTCAGAGTTTCTCAGACCATGTTATATCATAATAATTAGTTTCTATCAGACGGCCCATAGTTCCTTATATTTTTTATGATTTATAAGTTATTAATAGAGTTTTTGAATAACAACGAAAAATGTAGCTTATATTTCCTAGTGTAAAGGGCATTCATTTCAAGGATTCGATCAAGTGATTTGCTCGGCAAAATTAGCTTCTTGTGGAAAGAATATATTTAGCAATTGAGTTTTTATTTGAATTTGTTAAAGTTAGGCCAATAAAATGATTTATTTGATAATATAGCTTCACTATCTGTCTCTATACACTGTACTATAATTATATGTTGTTTCCTTGTTCTGCTTGCTGATACACACATTTTTCCTTTGGCTTTCAATTGAAAATTAATATATGTTAAATTTTTTTCAAAGTGGAGCAACCCTTGTGCATTGCCTAGCAAAACTTTTGTATTTCTTGTTTGTAAACAATTCTTTGGCGTTTTTAAGGAAATATGAGATCAGTCTATAGAGCATGTAGCAATGTTGGAGATGGGTTCTAATCTAGGTTGACATGTGAATATCATCTGACCAAGCATTGTTCGTGGGACAATTATATTTGTCCATGCGTAAATGTCTTTGGATCTGAAGTAAATCGAGCAATTTTGTTTAAGTTGCAGGATGTGTGTTTTGCACACAAAATTTGTATAGCTTGTATATACAGAGAAAGATATAAATATATATAGACTATTATCCCACATTCATGGTTGTGCTGTTATTTATATATGCTCAGTAGGCAGCATAGATAGACATTTTTTTGGTTTTATTTTAATGTTTGAGGGAAGCGTTTTACTTTTTCTTCTATCTGATAATAAGAAAGGAATTTTATGCTTGGAAAAATGAAGTATTTGTACAATTTTAACAACTGGCTGGAAAATATTTACCAATGATATTTATCATTTTCATGTATCAAGTTATTGTCTGTGGCCCCATTTGGCTTGAATTATATTTTTGGGGATTACAAACTACAGATGTAGTACAGAATATCAGAATAGTGCCAATAGAAGCTGACAGTGTCTCCAATAAATGTTTGTAAACTTCTTTTGAATCCTTTAAAGGAATAGTAAGCCTTATGATATGATAAGTTTATTGGTGGAAAACCCTTTAAAATTAATAGTGTTATATATTATTTTGTGTGGTCACTGATGTAATTTTGGTTTTAAGGACTGCAAAAAATCTATAGAATACTTTTATTTAATCATCAGTGATTCCAAATTCTCAATCCTTAATATTCTTTTAACATTACATGAAAAAATGAATTGACTGTTACTACCATAGCACAAAGCTCAAAGTAATTTGCATGAAGGATTAGTTAAAATTGTACTGACTCTAAATAATGTCCAGTATGGTATAGGGCAGTGATTGAAAGTGTCTTGAGAAAGTGAATGGTACTATAGAGTGACTTATGTAAGATAGAGTGTAGTGGTGTATATACAGAAGGCTATTTTTGTGAAAGAGATCTTGGCTATAACTGTCTTTTACTGTGGTATGTTCTCAAACAATGCAACTTTTAATATCTCTTTTATTCCTTATAAATGTATTATTGCTTCTTAAGTCAAATAAGGTTGATGTTATTCGAAGCTAAAATTTTGTTTGTTTTCTTTGGCATTGATTGAAATAAGGTTCACTGATGACATGTGAAAGAAAATGACAGAAATTTGAGTTTTGAATATATATCAATCTAACAGGCCTAAAACCTTATTCTAGTCTATTATTACTGTGATTGCTTATATATACCTTACATACTATATTAATAGCTATTATGCCTATTGTCATTTCTACACCTTTCTGTGATTTCCTAGTATTTAGGGGTACAGTAGAATCTTTATTTATCTTTTAATAACAGTTTAAAATTATAATACACCAATTTACTACAAATCAATAGTTGTCTAATTATTTGCTTTACCACCTTTGAGGCATCTGACTTAAGTTTGTCAAAAATCTTTTAATAATCTTTATGAAAGTCTGGATTGTAGTCACTTCCAGGCAGTTATTAACAATATCTTTATCTCCAGTTTTTATCTCGGGCATAAAAAAAAGTTTGAAAGAGTTTTAACTTCCTTATTATGTTATTGTTGCTTGAATTATGATTTTAATATGAAATGCAGTAAAGGGCGCTGAAATTGAGCTTTGTTGGCAGGTAAAGCAAATATTTACACAACCAAATGTTTTTAAGTGAAATTTTAAGCTGGTCTTATCTTTTAAAGAGAATTTTATGATTAGTCATTTCTTTTGGAATTAGTTCTGTAACATTTGCGAAATAACAGAATTGTTTCCTGTGAAAATATCTTTTAACTGTCAGGAGTTGCACATTACTGATTACTTGTGAATAAGGAGTAATTCCTGAGTATGATTAATAAGAAGCTCCTTACACTTGCAGACACAGCTGTCTTATTTATAAAAATAGATTCTCATTTCTATATTATTCCGCTTGATATATTTTGGTTGAAATATTATTATATTGCTATTGCATTTTGTTTGTTATTTATTGTTGTGCAATATTCCATTTATTTTATTGTTTACAAAGTCTGTTATTTATTTGTTATTGTTTACATTTTGTTGTTATTTGATGAATTTGATGATTTAAACCAAAAGTCAGATAATTTTGGTGGTGATAAAACACAAAAAAAAATTGATACACTTCAATATTAAGTTGGATAGTATATGTACAATGGGTTGGTGATGTCAGAAATGTACTTTATTGTAAAGGACCAATCTCTTTTTTAATTACATTTGGCCAAGCTCTTCTCTTAGATATTTGGAAAGGTGACATCAAGAAATTAATAGTTTTGAGTTTGGAAATTCTTGGATATTTAATGTACTGGTATTAATGATTTGTGTTTGTCATAACCCTCATCCTTAAACATCAGTTTGGAATTATTCTATTACCAGAAAGAGAATTGCAAATATCCAGAAACCAGCTGTTAAGTCTCTTTTCCTATATTATATCATAATTTTCTCAGCCAAAGGGAGATAATTTCAACCTAGACTAGCAGACGTCGATTTCATAAATCATGTTATAGAGATAATTGACAATATTTGATTACATTTCCATTTACTAATTAACTTGCATTAAAAGATCATTATTCATAACTGTAAATAGTTCAACATGATATTTTAATTAACAATCAATGTGATGCACCACCCAGAGCACAAGTTCTGTTTGAAGGTATACTGTCATGTAATTATTTCTATAGAATGGTTTCAAGTTTATGCAGAACAACAAACATCACTTAAAGTTGTAATGGTGGAGCAAAGATATTGGGGCACATCTAGGTCTGATTTAAAACATGAACACAAACAGTCCACTTATATTTAGGTAGTGAAAGTAGTAATAATGACTTTATAGTTTTCAATATTTATTCTACCCAAATTTAAATGGACTGGTAATGTTTTGTTTTGGACTCAGCTGTTCACAAATTTCATTGTTTAACTTCAACAAATTTAAGAAATGTTTACATAATTTGAACCAAATAGACAATATAATCTAACATCATTATCACCTATAAAAATAAATGTCATAAAACATCACTGCCAATAATTCAATATAATTTAGTATGAACATAATGTTCAGTTAGATATTTTGTGTTCCTTTAAAGTTTGTTGTATGTTTTTTATTTGATAATAAAAGAATAAATTAAAGGGCAATCAATAGGATTTGTCTTTCTTTTCTATAGTAAATGGAGTATAAGATAATAAATTTATATGGAATTGATATTTGTTGTTACTCATTAGAGCAGCATGGTGCTTTGACATATATTATTGCATATACATTTTATTGAATACCAGGTGTCTGTTCTCAAATTCCAGTTTGTACCTAATTGAGAACAGAGTGTACCTGTTATAAATAGCAGAGATTAGGGTTTAAGATCCAAGAGTTCGTCTCATCTGTTTGATGAGCATGTAAACAAAGAGGAAAAGCCTAAAATCTTTACCATCCTTGATGGATAGTAGTCTCTGACACCCAGATTATTCCGGTCCAGGGGTTGAATATTGTCACATTATTTGTATCAACAGAAAATAGGTTGAGCCAAACAGAATCATGTAACTAGCAGCATTCGAGTCAAGAAGTTGATGCAAATGCGACGAGGATCTTGTCAAGGTTGTGAGTAGACAAAGAGGGACTGGATGATACAGGCTAGATGGATACAGCCCTCCAGGTCAGGGAGTATGAATTGAACTTGAAACCAATTAGCAAAGAAGAATTAGCAAAAGACATTTTGAATACAAAGATTGAGACACTTAAGTCATCTCAGTATTTTTTGTCAAGACCATTTATGATTTTGATTCTGTGTGACAAGATAAGTAAGATGTTAAATAAAATATTTATTTAGTATAATAATAAAGTTAGTATAATATTAATAGATCACAGTTGAGATAAATAATAAATAATTTATATAAAAACATAGGAAGTTAAATATACCCTCAATGATATGACCACTGTCAAGAATGGGTTTTCTGATGCCCTTCTCTACACATATAAAGGGACATGTCTTTACTTAATCATTTTACAAGTTGATAGAAATCAATAGTAGCTACATGTTTAAATTTCTAGTATCAAAATCGGGTTCTCTAGAGCCCACTGGACATCTCAAATGTCAGATTTTACTTCTGAAAAGTAATCAAGAGAGCAGAAATGCAGATATATCAGACAAAAATTTATTTAACCTTTATACAACTTGCAGTTAATCATAGCCTGCCATTGATATTTGACAACATGTAACAATACACAGGTACACTTGACTTCACTACCTTTAAAGAATCCTAGTAAAATGTACAACATAAGACATCTGGAAGTTTCCAAGGGATCCTATAAAGATCCTATCAAACTGACAAATTGTTCAATTACAATGTAATAACACATTTAGAAATCGAAAACACTGAACAATTTAGACAGTTTTGTTACCTAATTAAAAAAGCTAGACAAAAATAGTAAAGCTCAGAAAAATTTATATATCTTAGATTCATCTATTTTTAAGAAAAGTACGCCTAAAATAATACAAAAATCATGTCGGTATATATACTGAAACGAACATATTTATGCATATCTGGGGATAATTCAAATATAAATAAGTTAACTAAGTTCTTCAGATAGAATAACACTGTGTTCATTCAATACCACTGTGCTTGGTGTGGCTTGGATATAGCATCGATCTGATTTAAAAACATGACAAGTCCACATTATTTTGAGGTACAATAAAAAGCAGGGCTAAATTGAGAACTTTAAAAGTGTGACTTAAATTGTGCTCATTACTTATTGCTCATGTGGGCTGATAGTGTTTTGTACCCAAATGTGCATAAATATCTTTGCTCAGATATATCTATCAGTAATATAAAATATATATATACCATTTGTTTAGCACTTGTATAGCTAGACCATTGTAAAGGGAGGTTACAAATGATATATTATGAATTATGATAAAAAAATAACGTATGCCTTAAATACAATATATATACAATGTCTACCATACCTCATTGTTAATAAAAGAAAAAAAAATAAAACCTTCAAATTTCACTCCATCTTTTTTCACCTCCTATCAAAACTCTCTAAAAACAGGACTGTATATATAATTACATTACTACCAACAGTCAACAGTAGGCTACTCTTCTCCATTTAGCTCCATATTATGACTTGATTATGTTACAATCAAGAAAACTTGTATCAGAACATTCAGAGTTAAAATCATGATTAAAGAGCTCAAAACAAACTTAAACAAAAAAACAAATGAGTTTAAAGTGATATTATTCTTAACAAAAGAAGTGTACGTGAATAATTGACCTTTGGTAATATGGAATCAAATTGGTTGGACAGCCTCATGATTCTAGTCATAAGATTGTGTTGAAATTTTAGAAAAATAAATATCCTTTAATTCGAATTTAATAAATTAATGCTGGGAAATCGAGTGGAAGAAATTATTTAATGCTGTGTGACTTGTGAAACAGTTTCTAAACTCTAACAAAATTTTGACAAAAAAATAATAACCGAACTACGATTTTGGCTCAAGCCTTGGCACAGAACTATATTTATATACAGCCTTAACATGATAAAACGTGGTTACAAATCGTTGCTGATTTTTGAGGAAATTTATGCCACTGGTACAGAGACTAAATTATTTGTTGTAGCTCCATTTAAGGGAGTGATCGTTTCATAAACTGGTTGGTACACTTTATGACCACGTCCATCTATGTGATCAAACCTGAATGTAGATTGACCAGTCTCGATTATGGCAGCAGGACAAGGAGCAATCTTCTTAGGAGTGTAATCCATCCTGTACATGGTACCATCTTCAAACTGAGCATCACTTTGAATAGCTGAATTATCTGGCTTGCAACTCTTCATTGGATTAATAGGATGCTTGATGTAATGAGCTTTGTATGTTGGCATGCCCTCAAATGGTGCATTGCTTGGATTGTAATCAGGCTTCATTGTAGGTTGCATTCTTTGACCCAACTCCCATGGTCTGAAGTCTGTTTTATAGTTGGTTGTATCATCAAATGTACCAGGTCTTAAGCCAGTAGCTGAAGCAGGACGTTTAGCCATGTGTTTCTGAAGAGGATGCTCTTTAAAAGCTATCTGATGAGTCGTATTCATGTCCATATCACCTTCTGGACGTCTGTATGGATCAGGGTCATGGAGACGAGGTCTTTCAGTAGCCCATCGGCGATAATCATTTTTAAATGTAGTCATATCTTCTAATGGAGCAGATGATTGGAATGCCTGATTGAGGGGCTTACAGCTTTCAGTTTTCTGACCCATTGGACCAGTGTAATCCCTTCTAAAGGTAGATAACCCATCAAAAGGAATTCCAGAAGGTTTGAATTTCTCTGGCTGCCTCATTTGACGTGCCTCCAAAGGATGTTTGATGTAATAATCTCTGTATCCAGTACGACCATCAAAGGGGATGTCTGATGCTTTGGTAGCTTCCTGTGGTTTCATACTCTTTCTTGGAGCTTGATTGTACCTCTGAAAATCACGAGCAAAAGTGGTTTCACCAACAAATTGTTGTGTTGGTGGTTTCCAGGTACCTTGATCTCCATAAGCTGGTTGACGATTAATAGGCCACTTCCTATAATCAGCTAAAATAAAAAAAAATAATGGAATCAGTAAACAATCCAGATGTACATGTTCAGTTCTATGTTTTCTATGCAACACTGATGGCAAACAGAAATGCAATGAGAAATCGAGATCTGCATTTTAATCAAAATACATAGTGGTAAACTTTTTAAAAGTGAAATCTGGTACAAACAGAAGTAGAGAATCTATCCATTGCTGACTAAAAACTGACTAGATTAAATTCTTATGTTTGAATTGGTACTTACATTGATAAGTAGGTTCCCCTTCAAACCTTGCTGGCAACTGTCTTAACCCTTCATGTTTAATAGGTACAGCTCTTGGTCCACCCTTTTCTGTAACACAAAGAAATCTGAGTTATATCCATGGAAGACAAGATTTTTTGAATGGTTTATCTTGTTAATCTCTCCATAAATTATTCTAATGCTGATATCCATAGTCTCCACATGTGCCCTATGTCAGTGCTTCTATAGGAGAATTTCTCTTATAAGCTAACAGCTTACACAAAGACAAATAAATAACTCTATACCCTATTATAATCAACTCACTCCTATTTTAGTCTAAACTTTAAGAGATAGGCAAAGGTTTTAAAATCATATGTGGCTGGCATATTAATTTGGCATTCAAGTTAAAAGAACAAAAAAAGTGGACATCTTCGGTCTAGTTCAAAAATTTTGAATATTCTAGTAATTATGTTCAAATTCAAATCATAGCAGTATATGCACATAAACTTATATAAGACATGTTATATATGCACATTTATCTAACTAATTAAAAGGTAATAATATACTGGTATTATAGTATACTGGTATTATAGTATACTGGTATTATAGTATACTGGTATTATAGAATACTGGTATTATAGTATACTGGTATTATAGTATACTGGTATTATAAAATACTGGTATTATAAAATACTGGTATTATAAAATACTGGTATTATAGTATACCGGTATTATAGTATACCGGTATTATAGTATACTGGTATTATAATATACTGGTATTATAGTATACTGGTATTATAATATACTGGTATTATAGTATACCGGTATTATAGTATACCGGTATTATAGTATACCGGTATTATAGTATACCGGTATTATAGTATACTGGTATTATAGTATACTGGTATTATAGTATACTGGTATTATAGTATACCGGTATTATAGTATACCGGTATTATAGTATACTGGTATTATAGTATACTGGTATTATAGTATACCGTTATTATAGTATACTGGTATTATATAACACTTGACCTAATATTTTTAGGTATCAGAATCAATTAAACTATAAAACTAATTGACAGCTTAACATTCAAATTAAAAGCTTGCCAGGCAAGGTAATATATGCCCACTGGCAGCTTTGATTTTATATAAAAACATTTGGCAGTACAGTAACAATTACCAGTATGAAATATCCAACCTTCAGACATACACTTCTTTTGAACTTTTTGAGACGATACTGAATAATATTACCAAGTTTCATCAAAATCCGTCAAGAACTGTGCCTTCTGGAGTGTTTAAGTGCTAAAAATTGAACGCGTTTTCAAGAACAAGGGCAATAACTCATACTAAATATTTTTCGATTTTTCTGATTTTTAATAGGATTTATCCTTGGGTGATAACAAACACTCATGCCAAGTTTCGTCAAAATCTGTCAAGACTTGTGCCTTCTATAGTGTTTACGAGCTAAAAATTGAAAGCGTTTTCAAGAACAAGGGCAATAACTCATACTAAATATTTTTCGATTTTTCTGACTTTAAATGGGATTTATCCTTGGGTGATAACCAACACTCATGCCAAGTTTCGTCAAAATCTGTCAAGACTTGTGCCTTCCAGAGAGTTTACGAGCTAAAAATTGAACGCGTTTTAAAGAACAAGGGCAATAACTCATACTAAATATTTTTTGATTCTTCCGATTTTCAATAGGGTTCATCCTTGGGTGATAACGAACACTCACACCAAGTTTTATCAAAATCCGTCAAGAATTGCGTCTTGTAGAGTGTTTACCAGCAACTGTGGACAGACGGACCGACAGACGGACCGACAGACGGACGGACCGACGAACATGGTTGACGGCAATTTCATGTGGGCACATAAAAATATCCCAGCAATAATCATAAACCTCTGTATTCAAATAACACCAAACAAATTTTATAATAAACTAACATGTAAGATGGTATAATAAATCTCCAGTATGATTATATTGTAGTATGAAGTGTGAATAAAATTATAATGTAAACATAGATTAATAATTGTTGATACCCTATATAGTGACAGTCTTTACAGGATGGTAACCATAGAGCTAAATAAACTAACTCAACCCAGACATTTTTAATAAGCAATTACAGCCTATTTTCTATTATTAATTCATAATAAAGGTGTGCCTATTTACACTGCAAATTTGAATTGCTTTTTATAAAAATAAAATCAAGAATAGAATTCATTAAAATTTTTACATTTATTGTCTTGGTTTTTCTCCTTTTGTATTTTCTTACATTTTATAAGCTAATGAATTGTGCCAAATAGAATTTCGCTTATCAAATTACTTTGATGAAAAGAACAAGGTTATAATAGAAATTAATATAATTCAACCTGCTAAATGACAAACCTTATTGCTCTTGTTTTTTTTTATGTCTTGTAGCAATGAGTACTTAACAAATATCAATCATGTAAAAAAATTATTTTACTGTTTTTTATAAATTTTATTATACTGATAATACCTGCTAAAATTAGATACCTACCAACATAATCTTTCGTGTAAGATGTCAACATATCAAAGTCTCCCTGTGGTGTTTTATAAGCATCAGGTTGATGAAGAGCTGGTCTATCAACTGGGTGTGGTATATAATCCACTCTAAAATATACAACAATTTCCTTTCATACTTCTATTATACAATATCAGAGTTCCTCAAGATTTAAGAAGCAGTTATTCACAGGACGAGATTGAAATCAGATATGAGGGGAGAATGAAAGTCTTGCAGATGCCAAACCTTATTTCATATGATATTTAAATGATTTAATATACGTTCAGATGGATCCATATATTCATATTGTGGGATGATCAAATGAAGCTTAATCTTTATAACACTGAGAGTATAAGTAAATACAGTCCAACTTCAAGCGGAAGACCTTTATATAAAGTGATATCAATTGGTAAAAGCCACTTGGAACACTGTTGTCTGTGGTACCAGTAATTATGAAATCACAAACTAACACATAGTAAATAAAATAAAACTAACAAAGTACAAAAATAAAATCCTTGCACAAAAGTAACACTATAGACTCGTTGCTAGCTAAGTTATGAGATAAAGATATAAAACCAAGACTTATAATTCAATCAGAGATATTTATTGATATTCATTAATCTGCTTATCTTTATATTTATTATTTAATATTTTAATAATCTCTTGAATAAGTATTGAATGTAATTTCATAGATAGGTGGCATGTGGTAAAGAATTAGGCTATTAATTGAAAGTAGGCTACTAAGGGGGTACAACTCTTTTTCAAGGGTCACATACTATGCAGTTTAAAATAAATTGTGATAGGGGTCAATAGCTGACTCCATGTCGCATCTTTGGTATTAGACTCAATCTAAACTCCACAGGGATTCCAACGTATCTAATTGACATATATGGCCACCTTTCTATTAAAATTAAAATCAAATCAAAATAGAATCTAATTAGTTGGAAATATACTACACTTCAATACAAGATTTTTAGTTTGTTTTTAAGTAACAAAAGTTCTTTCATAAAATCTCATGATTCTCAAATAAGATTTTTACGATTTATTGAAACTGACAAATCTGGCCCTACCGGCTGTTCAGTCCTGATACAAGGATGTGATTTCTAAAATTCCATTCATTGAAAAATTGTCAATTTCAAACTAGACCAAGATCTCATTGTAATAGATGATCACACCAGATTTCATTAATATCAGATGAAAACTGTAGTCTCTATAGTGTTCACAAACAAATTTTGACGTGTTTATAATAAGTCAAAGGCAATAACTCCAAAGAAATTGTCAAATTCAAACTTGATCAAGATCTCATCATGATAAATGATCACACTAAATTTCATTTTAATTGGATGAAAACTGTAGTCTCTATTGTGTTCATAAACAAATTCTGACGTTTTTTTTCCTTAGTCAAGGGCAATAACTCAAAAACCGTTGATAGAAAAATCTTGATTCTTGTTCATATGTGCTGACCTCCTATGCTTATTGTAAAAATTTATTTATTCCATTTTGACTTTCTGGCTGAATAATGCTTTTAAGTTTAAGCTTATATCAAGCAATAATTTACTAAATTTTATTATTATTTTATTCATAGAAAAATATCAATTTAGCCTATAAAAAAATTAAATTGTATGATCAATGAATGATTACTTTTTAGTTTAGTACAACTAAAATGCATGCCATTATGCTCAAAATTCTTGATCACCAATCAAAAGTTATTAAGGGGTCTAATGACTAGACCTCATTAACAGATCAATAAAAGGTACAAACCTGTGTGTAGTTTTATCATCCATGGCAGCATCTGCTTTAACAGCAACATTTGGTGGTTTAAAACTTTCTCTTGGTTGCATGGGATGTTGACGATATGTGGTGTTATATTCTGTTAATAAACACTCTCTGTCTCCTCGACCAATTGGTGCATTGGGCCGGTGTGGGCACCGATGGCGCCTAAAACATAAATCACATCATTATCTCATAAATGCCAAGGAAGTCTTTTGAACATCAGTGGTCATTACATTATCATTAAGGTGAGGAACAACAAATAAGGTGACATTATAACGACAGATTTGTTCTGTACCATTGAAAGTTTATATTTTCAAATCATTTCAGTTAACCTAAAACAAACCTCTATAATTATGATATCACGTTCTGGCTATATTGAATTCAGCACTGGTATTACACAGGGTTTAATCATTGATGATATAATTGTGTTGTCAACTTTTTAGTACAAAATTATCACACTTATAATGAGTGCCTACCAAAATTGTGTCACAATCTACTAGCTGGTTGAACAAAAAGAACAGTGCATAATATCAAAGAGAGACTACACAATTTAGTTATTCTGCACAGCATTTCTTAAGGATTCCTCTTTTAAAAGATAAATGATAGCCATAGTAAGATAGTAAGCATTAATATACAACATGTGCCATAAAAGAAGGCAAAGGTTTCTTCATAGGAAGCCTTTGCTTCATTATTCATATTACTAATAGCATAGGCTTTGGAAGTAACTCTTGTAACTGCAGTCTAACTGTGTAAAACAACAGACATTAATATTGTATTCTGCCGTAAATAGAAAATATTTTTCACAATACGGCATCAACAGACTGCAGCTGCCTTTATGATGAGGGTCTTTGTTAGGGTTAGATTGAACTTATTTTAAGGTTTAGAACAGTTTTTTACAGTATAAAACAAAACATATGTGCAGTTAGACTGAAACATCTGACTCCAGCCTCTAATAGCTATTTGGACAGATGCCTTACTAACTCTACTCCAGCTGACAACACTGTCAAAAAATCCATCAGAGGCTGGAATAGAGGCAGGTGTTTCAGACTAACATGCAGTTTGCCTGCAGTTTGCTGAAACTATACAAAAATTTCAAAATATGGCTGCCGTAACTCACCCTCATAACTTAGATCACCATTCATAAATTTCAAAATTAAAAAGTCTATCCTTGTAAAATTTTAATTGTTTTAACTCTACAAGGACTCTATCAATCCACAGAAAAATAATCTCACGTCACAGATACACAGATACACAATGACAAACAAACATACACAGAATTCAGAAGAAGAGAAAGAAATTGTTTTCCAAAATGAAGAAAGTTCATTTTTCAACGATAACTTACCCACACGTGCATATTTCGCAGATACACCTTTTCACCATTATTCTTTAACAAGATATGAAGGTGTAACAAACAGCTAAGAACAGAAATAAAATGGTACTTTAACTGTAAACTGTGATATTCATCAACAATTTACTAGTTGCTAAGCAAGCGATTGACAGCTTGTTGATCCAATATGGCGTCCGATCATAGCAACTAAGTAGGTAAACTAAATGGATTAACCCAAAAGTTTTATTATAAACCGGCAAGAAATAGAGGCTTAAATTGAACAAATATAAAAAGATCCACACAGACTTAATATTGCGAAATAAATATTGTATGTAGTAATAAAGTACTTCGAATGGAATCCTTTTTGTACCGAAAGATTTCCCCCTATCATTGAGAATGGACGATTCTGGTTTCGATTAAAATTTTCAAATTACTGAAACATAACGAATATAATATTATTCATTTTATTATTATGAGTTTCAACGGCTATAGTTAATATAAACATAGAGAATATTTTTCATTGCTATTATTGAAAATATCAAGTGAATACATGAATGAACATTTTGTGCTTTGTTTTCTTGAACGGTAAAAGGGAGATAACTCCATTTTTCATATCTTTATCATTATATTTTTGTGGTCTGAGCAACAAAATTTGCTATGACCATTTCAAAATGAAACGTATATAGTGTTAGCGTTGCGCCGCGTAATTTCAACCCAGAACGAATCGGTTTCAGATCTTATGTATTAGCAGATTCTATTAATCCGAAATATCTGCCTTTATTCCAGCCTCTTATAGATGATATGACAGTTATATCATCAGAAAAAATCTGTTTTATGGGGATTTTCTAACATTGAAAGGATATTACCTCTTAGAATGCACATAAAATTCACAAACTTGGTCAACAAGTGCATATATTCATCAACTGGACTTACTACGTGCCATGGCTAAAGAATAGCTCTATATAAACTAAATGATAATTGAAAACTACTTAGTTTAATTGATTTATTGGTATATAGAGAGATTCTTTTGTACACTTTTTTTTTGTAAACAATATTTTATTCCTAAGAAAAGGATTGGAGAACAGACTTACGCCTATGAAACCCCCTCTCCCACGGTACACTTATGACACCATGAAGAAGGACTATAACCAAGTTTACAAATTCTATACTTTTAAATTAGGCCTACCTTAACGATGACAATAAATTAGTGCTGGGTATCGCCGTTAGTATCACGTGACCCTGCGACCCTTGAACTTTTGGCTGCGCCCGCAGTTTTAAATGGCCATCGAGAGACCAGTTTTGTTAAATGGTGTAGTGGGAAAATGATGGTATGATTGAACTACAAAAATATCCATCTTTCCGAATATATCTAGGCGATTTAAATAAATAGGTTATAAATCCCGCACCTCCAGATCTCTCAAAATAATCTCCCTACACCAGCGGACAACTTTCAAAATAACTATCAGAGACTGGGATAGAGGCAGATGTTTCGGTCTAGAGGCTATTTGAATTACAAAGAATATCACAAAAAAATTAATTTTAATATCCGTCTAGCCATCTAGACATAATTCAAGCGAAACGAAATGAAAAGGATTTTTTTCAGAAACGTGCGTTTTTAGTTTTGTAAGAGATAACTAAACTATTAATCCACATCAGCTTAAATAGAGGAATCATACAATTAAAATGAGGAAAACCTCAGATCAAATCAAATAGATCAAAGATCAAATAACGCAAGTTACATAGATTCATTAAAAGACAAGGTTCACCATTTTCGAAAGCCAATTGTACCTTGGTCTCAGAAACGGGAATCGTTCACCTTACCTAAACTGTAATAGTCTTCACTGTTTACTGTCGAAATTTCAGCTATCTTAGCCATGTCTATCTTTGATTATCCGTTTTTTTGAAAATTTTTCTAATAACTGCCAATTGTAGAACCGTTAAGGACTGGATAATCAACAATGATCCGTATACAGTATTTCCTATAATCGATATTATAAATAAGACGCAAGTTTCGGGCACCCGAATTGATATACTAATCTATATAGCATTATTATATTTCTAGATCAACCATTAATCTATAGCTATTAATATAACATTACTATATTTCTAGATCAACCATTAATCTATAACTATTGATATAACATTACTATATTTCTAGATCAACCATTAATCTATAGCTATTAATATAACAATACTATATTTCTAGATAAAGGATCAATTTAAAGATATTGATATACCATTACTCTACTTCTAGATCAACCATCAAACTATAGCTATCGATGTACCATTACTATATTTCTAGATCAACTATTAATCTATAACTATTGATATACCATTACTATACTTCTAGATCAACCATCAAACTATAGCTATCGATGTACCATTACTATATTTCTAGATCAACTATTAATCTATAACTATTGATATACCATTACTCTACTTTTAGACCAACCATCAAACTATAGATATTGATATACCATTACTATATTTCTAGATCAACATCAATCTGTAGATATTGATATACCATTACTCTACTTCTAGATCAACCATCAATCTATAGATATTGATATACCATTACTATATTTCTAGATAAACCATCAATCTGTAGATATTAATATACCATTACTTTATTTCTAAATCAACCATTAATCTATAGATATTGATATACCATTACTATATTTCTAGATAAACCATCAATCTGTAGATATTAATATACCATTACTCTATTTCTAAATCAACCATTAATCTATAGATATTGATACACCATTACTATATTTCTAGATAAACCATCAATCTGTAGATATTAATATACCATTACTATATTTCTAGATCAACCATCAATCTGTAGATATTGATATACCATTACTCTACTTCTAGATCAATCATCAATCAATAGATATTGATATACCATTACTATATTTCTAAATCAACCATCAATCTGTAGATATTAATATACCATTACTCTATTTCTAAATCAACCATCAATCTATAACTATTGATATACCATTACTATATTTCTAGATAAGCCATCAATCTGTAGATATTAATATACCATTACTCTATTTCTAAATCAACCATTAATCTATAACTATTGACATACCATTACTTTATTTTCAAGTATTATCAATCTATGATTTGATTTTATAAAGCATTATATCAATTCTTGATAAACCATCATCCTATAATTATAAATATACATTAGCATACTTCTAAATCTATTCTATTCTATTCTATTCTATTCTATTCTATTCTATTCTATTCTATTCTATTCTATTCTATTCTATTCTTCTAGTAGAAATGCATGATCCCACAATTAAGGAAATTAATTACATGCCGAATTTTGTCGTACAAAAACTGTTTATTTAGCTCTTTTCATTCAGTGTACACAAATGATAAAGAACCTACAATAAACGAGCCATATATCAAACGATATTATATAGTGTAGAAGTAATTTAAATCTCAATTTGAAAAAAAAATTGAGTTGTCAAGTGTAAGCTGATACTAAGATGCTATCAATAATCTAATAAGAAAGAAGTTATATTTGTATAATATTATATGTCTTCTCATCTAAAAACCATTTTAACCGTGTAGACTTCACTTAAGTTATTCTATACTAGACCTGTTTTCTAACAAATACACTGTATTTAAGTTGGAGTAAGAAATCGGGTATTGGAGTATGAACAGGATAGCTGAGACAGAGTTATAAGGCAGACTAACAGTCCATTAGTGGCCTTAGGTCGTTGTTTTAGTGGACGTTTTGGAGTGTAGCAGGAACCTTTTCAAGTGGACTTATTGCAGAATTAAAAAAAAATAGGAGTGCAGTATAATTATGATTTATGCTTCTTAATGACTTTTGGAGACACACTTTCGTCGTTTAAAATTTCACTAATTTAATGGTCTGGTTCAAATTATTAAAAGTTTGAACGTGAAAGTTAAGAGGGCACTTAGAAATTTTACAACACTCAGCTATTTTTGTGCTATGATTAGGTCTAACGTTATGTAGAACATCATGGATTGATATTTCAATATTGGATTAAATGTGATCATCGTGGCTTTAATTTTTTACCATTCTCATTAGCTTAATTGTGATAATTAATATTTAATCATGTGTATATTATTAGGATATAGAAACACATTGTTAAGTGTATTTATATTAGTAAGTGTGGTACTATTGACTAATGCAGCAAGAGGTAGACAGCGAACACATAGATCATTTTTACAAAGAGACCAACCACGGGGGTAAGTAATTTCAAATGTTTTAACCACAACACACTATTTAGGTGGTAGAAATGTGGATTAGCCTTTTAAGTGTCACTAAGAGACTATTCTATGCATTATGCGAGATGTTGTCTCTGGTATTATGTAGTATGTCATTGCCATCATCTATTTGAAATTCAAGATTATCTAGTTTTAGTATGTGTATCAGAGACACTATTTGCATTATTCTGATTTCATGTCCAGTGTGTAATGCCCATGTACTTATTGTAGAAAGGTTATGACGTCAAAACCCATTTCGATTTTATCAAGGAGGTTGGAAAAATGGCATTATCGATGATTTTTTTTTTTTTTTTTTTTTGCCTTAACAAGACCCATTATCGTTGGATGTAAAATCGGAATGAAGTAACTGGAATACACCTTGGATCCTATAATCTCTTTCAATATTGACACATTGTAACTTTTTGAGCTTATGAAAGAAACTTTGATAATATATAGACTAATATGTCTTCAGAATTCTTTCATCAATGCCAAATTACCATTTCCAGTTCAACTATTGAAGTGCTGGGTGTTTAAAAGAAATCTATTGACATGTGAACCTTTAATAGCTGCCTTTGGTTAAGTTTGGCTAATGAGATCCAGAAGCGATCAGTATAAATTTTAGGTCTACCTCTATATTGCCTTTCATGCTCTTTTATAGCTTTCAAAGTTTAAGTTTTGAGTGGGCCTATCAACAGCTGTGCCAAGATAAATCATAGTAGATGGATAGTTTCCTTTAGCCAGGGACTAAAAACTATTAAAAGAGCACAACATATTATATTGCTCATTTTCATAAACTTATTCATTTCATTTCTCAAATTGTCGAATAAAACTTTCCCCAAAATCTGATCAAAACATTATATTTCCTCAGATCATGTGTCAATTTGGTCAGTTAACTAAAAATTGCCATAGACTCTTCCAACTCTTCCAAACCTCAATAATATACTTATATAATGTTCACCCAAATCTGATTCAAACCTGTACCCTATAAGCACTTACAATGTGACGCATTTTGACAACATCAACAGGACAGCTTTCAGAAATCATGTGATAACAGACCTTAATTCTGGCATTTAAAATATTATTTTTATATTCTGCGCCCTGAGTAGAATTTATACCCTCAGTAGACATGAATACCCTTAGTAGACATGAATAACCTCAGTAGACATGAATACCCTCAGTAGACATTGATGCACTCAGTAGACATGAATACCCTCAGTAGACATGAATACCCTCAGTAGACATGAATACCCTAAGTAGACACGAATACCCTTAGTAGACATTGATGCCCTCAGTAGACATGAATATCCTCAGTAGACATTGATGCCCTCAGTAGACATGAATACCCTCAGTAGACATTGATACCCTCAGTAGACATTGATACCCTCAGTAGACAATGATGCCCTCGTCAGCAGACATGTATGCTCTCACCCATCTACCTTATTACTACTATAAACAACACGGATGTACCTTTACCAGGAAAATTTTTGATTGATACACTGGCAATTTATTTATACAGTATATTTGTTACTAGAAAAGTTTTGAAGCAGACTGCATCTGTTAAACATACAATGAAGACTGGTGACCTCGAGGAGAAAGCCATACACATATCGGTGCAAATATCTTTTAGCTATATAATTTAATTGTATACATTATCTGAATATATAATACATGCATTGTTTAGTCTGAATTCCACTGATATCTTTTACAAGTCACGCTTAAAGGGAAAGTATCAAGTAATTTGTATTTGAAGTCTAATAGGACATTTAGACACTTCTTTAATACTTGGCTTTATTCAACCTGCGCAAACTACATTCCTACCAGAAAAATAGGACCAGACCACGACGTCCTTTGCCAATGATTCTTTTAATTCCATTTATATTTGAACTCACAATTACTACATATATTTAGGCGTCACAAGTTGAATGAGTTCCAATGTTTCATGTATAATGACACCCTTCACCTGAAATTAAGATACAGCCACCGTCCGTTTTATATCAGTCAGTAAGTTGTGTGCATCACAGTATAATTTAGACCTTGTCAACATTATTGGTCCGATAATAATGCACAAAAATGGGCGTAAAACTGCTGTGTACAGGTAATACAATTTAAATGATACCCAAGAAATAAGGTTGTAGCCTTAAATCAATCTTAAACGAGGAATGTGAAAACTAGAACCGACACCTTTAAAATAATGTTTTGAGTATTATTGCAGTCGGTGAATGAAAAGTTATTTAGGTGAGCGGCACTTGACATTATAGGAAATGATTTATAGAGGAAACCAAGTCCCCGCCTTCTAATTTATACTTCATATAGAAATATTAATATTAGTCTACTACTAAAACAAACATCCTTAGTGCACTGAACAAGTCAAAGCGAATGTATTTTTTGCAAAATATGTTTGTGTCGTTATAAACATTTACTATAATAGAGGCGCAAAGTATGAACTGGCGATTCATCAGTTTTCATTTTAGAAAGTAGATCGTCAGCAGCTGATGGTTACTGCAATTTTTCAATCGTTAAGAGTGTTTTGGTCGACTAAATTACAACAAATGATTAGGTTAATCCAAATGCCACCAGATATTAATCAAATTTTCTAGATTTATTAGATTAGTGAACACGTACAAAATAACCAACATAAAGTTAAAAAAAAAGTCCCATAATAGAGTGACTGCGTCATAGTGCATATCAATATAATTTCAATTCTATAATTTAAATAGCGTTCAAAAGATACGTGCAGTTTGATTGTGTCTGCATAGCCACGGGGTACACAGCAGAAAACAGCTATCAGTGAAACTCATCTCTGTATAATGTTTTACTATAGATAAATGATGTGATGTATCTTCTCACACTGTTATCACACCATATTATTTTTCAATGATAAATGAGACGACGTTACATTATGTTACTGTCAGATGATATAGGTGAGGATATTCTAACATCTTGAGAAACTACAATGTCAATCATGCATGAGTTACAAAGAGTAATGTCTTCTTTAACAAAAGGCGTTGTAACAAGAACGTTGCCTTTTTAAAACATGAACGTTTGTCCCGGTTGAACGTGTTGCTGAAAAATACAGTGCAGTTTCGTGTATGTTTCCCAGAGGTCCTAACTTCAAAGCGCGCCCTTTCATAACCTGAGGCAAGTTATTAACAAAATGATAATATAGATCAATCAAGTCTTAAGTATTTTCATTAAAGCCCTTACACTACTTTCAATTATCAGGAAAAGGGAGACGACTTTATTATAAATATATAAAGGTACATATTAAAACGAGAAGTTATGAAAATAAGTTACAAGACGATTGCAAGAGGTATCGATTCAAAATTACAATTGTAATTGTAATTGTTAATTGTAATTTATTATTGTTGTGATTGCATATGTTTATTTTATCAAAACTTACAAATGTAAAATCAGTACCAAGACGATTACAATGGATATGTGTTCAAAGTTACAAATATAAAATCAGTAACAAGACGATAACAATGGTTATGTGTTCAAAGTTACAAATATAAAGTCAGTAACTCGACGATAACAATGGTTATGTGTTCAAAGTTACACATATAAAATCAGTAACAAGACGATAACAATGGTTATGTGTTCAAAGTTACAAATATAAAATCAGTAACAAGACGATAACAATGGTTATGTGTTCAAAGTTACAAATATAAAGTCAGTAACAAGACGATAACAATGGTTATGTGTTCAAAGTTACAAATATAAAGTCAGTAACACGACGATAACAATGGTTATGTGTTCAAAGTTACACATATAAAATCAGTAACAAGACGATAACAATGGTTATGTGTTCAAAGTTACAAATATAAAATCAGTAACAAGACGATAACAATGGTTATGTGTTCAAAGTTACAAATATAAAGTCAGTAACAAGACGATAACAATGGTTATGTGTTCAAAGTTACAAATATAAAGTCAGTAACAAGACGATAACAATGGTTATGTGTTCAAAGTTACACATATAAAATCAGTAACATGACGATAACAATGGTTATGTGTTCAAAGTTACACATATAAAATCAGTAACAAGACGATAACAATGGTTATGTGTTCAAAGTTACACATATAAAATCAGTAACAAGACGATATCAATGGATATGTGTTCAAAGTTACAAATATAAAATCAGTAACATGATGACAACAATGGTTATGTGTTCAAAGTTACAAATATAAAATCAGTAACATGACGATTACAAAGTTACAATGGTGATGTTTTTCAAAGTTGCAATGGTTAAGTGCTCAAAGTTACAATGGTGATGTTGTTTGAAGTTACATTGGTTATCTGTTCATAGTTACTTATAATATAAAGTCAGTTAAATAGTGAGACAGAACAACATGCTCTTATACATGTATGTGTTATAACAAATGAAACTTTACATAGATCGAAAGAGAATTTGTCAGAATTTCATCGTTGTTCATATAGCTACTAAATATGCTTGTTCATCGATAAATGGTTAAATACTGAAAGTGAGAACGGAAGGCGTCTTTGCATGTCATTTTCACACATTTTAGGAGTACATCTGAAAAAGAAAGCAGGAAATAGCAGTTGTTTCTCATACATTATTGTAACACCCCATCTGATTTCTGATATCATATACCCTTCAAATTTGATTATGTCAAAATTGTCATAATTTACAGTCGTATATCATCTGTTAATCTGAAAATCATAGCCACATAATTCCCGCAACCTGTAGTGTGATATTATAATTATGCTATTAGTGACACAGTATCATTTTAAGTCGTAGCCTAATCCAATAATTAATTCTAAGATGAAAATCCTTTATGTTCAAAATAAAATGAAAATTCCGTGCCTAATAAACCACGAATTCTGACGCTACTTTTTTATAATGAAACTGATTTATGTAAATTCTTTGATAGCAGTGAAAAGAACACGAATGTTTATAAAGTGTATCTTTTTACACAAGATTCGTATGTAACAGGGTAAAGATTTATGACAATATTTCTTAAACTATTACAAGAATTTCACAGAACAATGTGACTTATCATTAATTTTCTTGCTGCAAATCTCAGTTATAAAAGTTTCTGGTCATTTAAAGAGAATATTCTGTGACACTGTACCCAATTAAGATTATACCAGATTAATGGATAAATGTTATAAGCTATCTCTCCTAATCTTCGAAAAAAAATTTTAGACTCGAAGACAATCCTAGACCATCATGCTCTATTTTTAAGTAAATATATTTCAATTCATATGGACAAAAAATGATCAGAAACCACACTGACGAAACAGTATACATAATGTGATATGACTTAGGTTATTATTAAAAATAGACAGTATCCTATCTGGCAATTGATTCAAGATAAGTCATTCTTAGTAATAGAACATATGATACAAAATAAGTAATTGTTAGTTTCTAGGCAATATCAAGATAAGTAATTGTTAGTTTCTAGACAATATCAAACAAGATAAGATATTCATAGTAATAGAAAATATGAAACAAGATCAGTAATGTTAGTTTCTAGACAATATCAAACAAAATAAGTAATTCCTAGAAATAAAAAATATGAAACAAGATAAGTAATTGTTAGTTTCTAGACAATATCAAACAAAATAAGTAATTCCTAAAAATAAAAAATATGAAACAAGATAAGTAATTGTTAGCTTCTAGACAATATGAAACAAGATAAGTTATTGTTATCTTCTAGACAATATGAAACAAAAGAATTATTTGTTAGTTTCTAGCCAATATAAAAAGATAAGTAATTATTAGTAATAGGAAATAAACAACAAGGTAAGTGATCGCTAGTTTCTAGACAATATCAAACAAGATAATTAATTGTTCGTTTCTAGACAATATCAAACAAGATAATTAATTGTTAGTTTCTAGACAATATAAAACAAGATAATTCATTATCAGTTTCTAGACAATATCAAATAAGATAGGTAATTCTTACTCATAGAAAATATGAAACAAAACAAGTAATTGTTAGTTTCTAGACGATATGAAACAAGATAAGTAATTCTTAGTAATAGAAAATATGAAACAAGATAAGTAATTGTAAGTTTCTAGACAATATCAAACAAGATAAGTACATGTAATTGTTAGTTATATACAAGATCAAACAAGATAAGTACATGTAACTGTTAATTTAGAAACAAAATCAAACAAGATAAAAATGTAAGTTTATACACAATATCATACAAATGCAGTACTTGTTAGTTATTGAAAATATTAAACAAGTAACTGTTAGTTTATAAATATCTTCATACAAATTAGACAATGTTAAACAGTTTTAATGTTAACTATAGAATGTATCAAACGAGAAAATGTAACCAGAGCTAAGTGAGTATTCAACGCCGTTTTGAACTTATTTTTAAAAGAACATTACTTTTATGCAAATAGTTCAAGATAGCTGAAACTGTAGGGAATGATCGAAAAACAGCAAATATAATGAAATGCTGCATCATGAGGCAAAGGAACGGAAAATGATCCCGAGTGAAAAAGTACGTGTCGGTTGGAAACGGGCTAGATGCTAGATTATATAACTACGATATATATTTTCATTTATGAAAGTTAATAAAACAATGAAACTATTTATTTGATTTCTTCCATTTTCTTTTTGTAAATTACATGTAGATGCTAATACACATGCCATAAATGATACTGGAACCGGAGAACGTTTGCATAAGCCTGATCATTCACATAATATAAACTTCCATTGCTTAACGTTATTATATAAAGTTAGTTTTCGCAATGTTTACTGAGCTGATCTCATAATTCATAACTGGAATTTAGCGTCAGTTTCAGTTTACAAGTAAAATGTTTATCATTATTTAGCCAATTTAAAAAGTAACACAATTCTAGGGGTGTGACTGTCTTTCATGTTAAACTCATGATTTGAATTTTGTTTATGTTTGTGCATTACTTGCATAGCTTAAATGGTTTCACAAAGGTTTTTATAAAGTGGGATACTAGGTTATCTTTCAATGAAAGATAATGCAATAACATGAGTTGAAGCGTCTAGCTAATGCGTCTAATGCCCAGTCTTATAGAGAAAAATTATATCCCCTATCCGAACTATTAGTCAATTAATGTTTGAAGACTTGCTAAACCAAACCTAGAACAGCAGCTTAGGTGTGCTATTTGTTCTCGTTATTGAGAATAAAATAATCCCAAAGTATTCATATTAATGTGATCTGCATTTGAATCTACACATTTTTACGTGTGCATAATGATGTGAATCTAGCAGATCCAAAAAATTCAGTTTTGCGGGTATTTAATACAAATGAAACCAAAGCGTTACAAAGTTTGTCCGAAACATATTTCTCTGTTCTAGCCTCTGATAGTTGTTTTGATAGTGTAAAACATTCTATTATATTTCTTTGGGTGACAATATTGTGTTGATATACGTCGCAAGGGAGAATAATCTGTTTTGATTTGAATGTCTTTGACAGCCTTAATCTGGAATAATTATGATTTGAATGAAGCTGAGTCACAACAAGCAACTCCTTGATCCTCATGATGATAAATAATAATGCATTTCCAAATGAATTACTATAACTTATTTCTCTTTTTCAGACCAAATGTGTGTGGCTCAAGATTTCGACGAGTGTGTTGTTCGGGCTGGTTAAGACCTCGGGGAAGTCGTCACTGCAATATTCGTAAGTTGTTTTTGTAAAAAAATAAACTAAAATCACGTTTTCACACATTACAAAATACTAAACTAACTGAAACCTTGTGTACATTTCGAATTCGTTATAACAGTTTTCAGATTTATATATTATGAGAAAAGAAGACCGAAAAACCAACTTCAATGAAAAGACTACTATCGAGATTCAAACCTCTAAAGAACAAACATATTTCACAGTCGATCACTTGATGAGTTTTGCAAAATCCCCATAAAAAGAAAATCATCAATACGAATCCAGCGTAGGACGATGCTCGGGTAAATCTCCAGATGCGTTGGAAAACCATCGAAAGAAGACGAATTGAAACAAAATTAATTTCAATCTTGACAATGCAAACTGTTTTCATCTGTCTAGTTTTGAGAAACCTGAGATTTTGAGTAACACTTGTGTCTACATTTTTATCATTAAAACTAAAATAAGACAAGTCAATGGTATTTTTGACACGTGACATCAATTTAAATGTGAAATAGTTAGATGTTGTAGAAAAAACAGAACCATATTTACAATTCATAAATTACAGATGTTAGTTTATAGGGAAAAAAGTGCTTTCAGTTCATTTGATATTTTGCCTTCACTTACCATTCTATCTTATTTTTGTTCCATTGAGAGGCACGTGGAAAGTGTAAAGGCTCTGTACGTCGGTGAAGGACATATCTTAACATTTCATATTGTAATTGAACTTTTAGAACTTAATCTTAAAACAAACGATGTCCAAAGACCAGACATGCAAAATAGCTCCTCAAGTCACATGCTAATTAGCTATAGACAGAGATCTTGTAAGTTTTAGATCAGAAGTTGACATGAAAAATTTGAAGAGAATTATTACAAAATTTGTGATTTTTAGACCACGAGAATTTGCAGAAAGACTTGGCAAAATTAACAATTCTTTGAATCCGTAGCAGAAAAACCCAAACTTCATTTTTCCTTTCAAGAGGTGGAACTGATTTCTATTTAAGCAAGAAATCTTTAGCAATTGGATATCATTGCCAAGTAAAGTGAGAACCAACTAGGATACAAATTAAAATATAACATTTTAAGAAATGAAAATGTATATAATATCTTTTTTTCTGTTCTCGCAATTTACCCTGGTGTTTGACTCGAGTATTATTTCCCGTTTAATATGACAATTGACGTTAGTGGAACAAATCCTCTGTATAGGTAGATAATATATATAAGGGCGTTAGTCTCAACCTAGCCCTGTTCCACGAAAATGGATATTTTAGAATTTAACAAGGTGAATAGTTAACCCTAGAAGATTTACATGCAAGGTTGAAGATCAAGATTACAGAAAAAATTGACATTTTGATTACATGTAACAATTGCCTTATTATACAAATATTATGTCATAGATTTGTCAAAGTCGTGTTTCTATGTTACACGCATATTTCGTTTTGGGTGGTCCTAGGTTGTACCCACGTTATTACAAATATTAACAAGACATACTTGATATGCCATAAAATCCACGAGACACATATGGAGGATGTGATTCAAAACAATTTTACTTCTACTTTATTAACTATCAATCGATTTAAATACGAGATAATAGACCTATGGTTGAATTTGATAGACATAATATAATATTTGGCAAAGATCTAATCATATGCCTGCAAGTACCGTATGTGGTCAGGTTAAGTGCTTACGAATATCATTCATTATATATAGCCTATGATTGTACAATGGAAAGAGTTCGATTTTAGCTTAGCAATTACAGCCTTTTAGTGAAGTTTCTTAAGATGATATCGGGGACTTTGGACTATTTATAGTTTTACTTCCTCAGCACGTTTTTCTTTCATTGAAGACCATCTGATGATATTTTTTGAGATTTTTATTCTAAAAGATTGCTGAAATTGAGAACGATCAGCTGTGAAAGCAAATATATAGTTTAACATTTGTTAATTAATGTATACTGCACATAGTTTCATTATTTACAGCAAAATGCTCTGGAGGTTGTAATGGTGGAAGGTGTATGAAACCAAATCTCTGTTTTTGTCCAAACAGACAAATATCAAGAACATGTAGTTCTAGAGACAAATCAACTGGTAAGACAATTTACTAATGCTTACCATCTCACACAGTCCCTACATCTTCTGATTGAATTTGATCTGCTAGAAACTAGAACTATCATAGTCTGTATCAGTTGCTTCTGTTCGACTTTCTGGCAAAATTTATCTCTATATTTGATGATATGATCGTTTCTCTCGTGTAGATGGCGGCATGATAGACACTTCATGGCAATATCACCAACACCATAGGTCTGTAAGACTGAATAACTAAATTCGGCTATTCGACATTAACATCTTAAATCTGATCAATTTCCTAAAAAACTGAATTAGAAGTAATAAGCACGTCTCACATTTCAGTTAAATGTACTCAAGGCTGTGAAAATGGAGGGCGATGTACTGGTGCAGAGCGATGTTCTTGTCCGTATGGTTTTTCAGGAAATCGATGTGAACAAGGTAGTTTAGAAGTTATTACTTTGATGAATGCCGGTCATAATCTAAGAATATTAGTATGACATTTGATGTTCATTTGATAATTTATTTTTAAATATAAATGTCGTTATGTCAAGATTTAGTGATGTAGACTTTACTATCAAACGAACAAATATTAATATTAATGATACTTAAATGTTTCCAATTTAATATTTTAAGTGCTGCATTTCTCATTATTTTCCATTTAAAGATTATCGAACTGGACCCTGCTTCACCCAGATCTCTAATAATATGTGTCGTGGACAACTCACTGGTGTTGTTTGTACTAAGATTCTATGTTGTTCTACTATTGGTATTGCCTGGGGTCAACCCTGTGAACAATGTCCTGCTCAACGTCATCCATGTAGACGAGGTTACATTCCAAATCCACAGACCAATTCTTGTCAAGGTCAGTAAATAGATATATGAATCAATGAATGAATGAACGAGTAATGGACTGAATGAATGGATTAAAACGAATGATTGAATAAATAGAAAAATGCACAACACCATGGGCGGATGATAGAAAAAAGAAAGCTTGTCATTCGCATCAGTCACCTGCCATATCAATTGCGAATGAATGAAAGAAAATTTTCTGTGTTATTTTCAGATGTGAATTAACGCTCCTTTTGTTATTTTTAGATGTGAATGAATGTGAAGCTATACCTGGACTCTGTGTTGGTGGTAACTGTGTTAATACTCAAGGATCTTATAGATGTGGTTGTAAAGAAGGTCAGATCCAGAATCCTGTCACTCAAGTTTGTGAAGGTAAAGCAACTTAGTTCATAACAGTTGATAATAGAAATGATAGTCTAATATCTGTCAAAAGCAGATCAGAATAGTATCCCCCGTCACTTTTGAAACTAGCATTTGCTAAAATATCGCTCATGAGTACATACGAGTTTGTATCCTTGTTATAAATTCAGGAATTGTAGGATGTATAACTTCACTCTTTCATTAAGTTGTATTGTTTGGTAGATATAAATGAGTGTCGACTGAATCCTGGTATATGTAGAGTAGGAACCTGTACCAACACCGAAGGAAGTTATTTCTGTACCTGCCCACCAGGATTTGAAACATCACCAGATAGATCTCGCTGTACCAGTAAGTTCATTTTGATTTGAATAACAACCAACTGACTAGAAAATCTTAGATGTAATCCTAATGTCTAATTATGATGATATGATTTAAGGTAGGATTTACTTGACTAACCTCACTATAACGACTAAAATTCTTCGAGAATATTGGTACCAATAAGAAAAGAAATACCTTGAGCATACGTGTTAGTCAAATACTTATTTCGGTACAATACAATACAAGTTTCATGGAGATCACAGGAATCAGAAAAGATATGGAATATAGATGTGGTAATTTGTGATCATGATATATTCAAAACCAATTGTCAGTTCCCATGTTTGTCATGTGTTCTATTAAAGGTCAATAAGCCATATAACACTTCCTAAATTCCTCTTACACATTTATATTGGTCAGTCAACTGACCAAAGGTCAATCAGTATAACTTACTGACCCATATCACCAAGACTGTATATTTTTATTTGTCCCACCCACAATAAACTAATAACTTTTTCCTTCCGAGAGTAAATTGAAAGAAATGTTATTTTTTAGAATTAATGGCGACCATATGTCATTGAGAAAGGATATGTTTGATAATTTATTCATCTCGTTTGGAATTTCTTTATGTTTAATATGGGAAACATTTCTAAATATAAATATTTTGGAATCTGAATTTTTATTGAAAGGAATAACTATTATGCTGTTGATGTAGAGGTCCCACATATTATGAAAACTTGATATTGAAACGTGACTTCAGGCACTCCTTGTGAGTTCAGATATAAACAATCTGATAGCATATTGACTGAAAAAGCCACACAAGTATCAATATAATCTAGATTTATGTATAAAATTAAAATATCTGTTACATTTCATATTTCTATAGACAGAAAGCTACAGCTTCAAATTTGAATCGATGCTCATGGAAATGTTCGTTCTGCAAAATGTGTATTACGTATGTCCTGTGTTTTTCGTGTCATCAATGGTTACAAATTACAATTAACGCGTTTTTTCCGTTAAATTAACAAAACGTTGTTAATATTTGGCAGTGCCTCACCAACCTGAAAGTGTTGTTCTCCCCCTAGGCATTAATGTGCGTCTATTGCCACAATGCGAAAATTAATATCACCTGAAAAGCTGAAGAACTATCTTATTGACCATACCACCTGATAAGTCAGATCGTTGGAAAAGAAAAAAACTTCTCATGAATAAACTAAAGGGGTTCCGACATTCAGTTCTAGTGGTGAGGACAGCATGCTTTGTGAGAGCACAAGCCAAGAGAAGGTCACAGAGGCAACAGTTGCTTCTCAATTTATAGGCTACCACAATGGTACACGATGCACCAACAACTAAATGGTTGCAACAATATATTCACGTTATACATATTTTTGAAATCCAAATTTTGGAAAATTCTCTTCATATTGCAGGTATTCGAAGAGGATTTTGTTATAGAAGTGTAGTCGGTAGTAATTGTCGAAATAGAATACAGGAACAAACTTCACTAAAAGACTGTTGTTGTACAATTGGAAAAGGATGGGGTCAAGGTCAAGTTTGTCAACCTTGTCCATTAAAGGGTCAAGGTATGAATGTATACACAATTTTATCAATCCTCGTAAAAAGACTGAAACGTGCTTTGAGTTGGACATGAAACTGATGCATGAGTAGGATTTTTTCATTTAACACTGTACTGTATGGAATTGCCACAGATATAGATATGGAAGAGGTAAATCCCAATGTACTTCGTCTTGGCTGTATTTCTCTCATCAACGTGAATTGGAAAGGTGGGTTATGTCTTAGTCATTTATGCTCTCAATATATAGATATATGTGATCAAGTGTTCCCGACTGTGGTGTAAGATTATTTGGTTGTCTCTCAATACCAACACTCTTATTATTTATTTTAGAACTTTTCTTTTTAAAATACTTTCTATTGTAATGATGTATTATTCAGATGCTTGGGAAAGATTATGTAGGAGTACAGAACCACTAACAGAGTTTGTAGATGAATGTTCTATATTTGATAAACTATGTCAGAATGGAAGATGTATAGATACACCCGATTCTTTCCGCTGTGAATGTAATCCTGGTTTTAAAAGTAATGCTGCTGGAAATTGTATCGGTAAGTCAGTCACCTGAAAAACAATTAGATGTGTTAGACTGCCAGTTAAACAGTTAGAGTGACCATTTACTTATTACAGTCTATTATTGATATTTCAGATATAGATGAATGTCTACTACCGGGAACCTGTAACAATGGTCGCTGTGTAAATACACCTGGGAGTTTTACCTGTCGATGTCCAGACGGTTTTACTTTGGACAAATCTGGATTATTCTGTTCAGGTTTGTAAAAAAAACTATTTAGTTTTTATTCTTTTATCATTTCAATAAATATAGTATTTAATTTTCATTTCATCTCAAGGATAAACTGATTTACTCTGAATCAATCCACAGTTTGTAGATAGAATGGTATCATTAGTCCTTTGAATTTTTAGATTTGGATGTATGTAAACAATATGGAATGTGTCCTTATAGTATTATGTATCTGTATTTTAGATATGGATGAATGTAAAAAAGATGGAATGTGTCCCAATGGTATATGTATTAATATGGACGGAAGTTATAAATGTCAATGTAAACCTGGATATAGACAGTCGTCTAACAGACAAATTTGTTATGGTAGGTAAGCACCATTCCTTGTATTTCTTACATGTGTGTCATTCTGCTATCCGTCGACCAATGTATGAAATCATATAATAATTTAGTGCCGACAGATCTTCTGGTTTAATACCTTAAATCCAAGTTCCCTTTTCCAAAATATCAACTTTAAGTTGCACTTAATTTAATTATATTTTTATTAATCGATTCGGTTTTTCCCCATAGATTAAGGAAAAGGCCTCAGGTTTTTTTCTTAATATGTTCCATATTGTTAGCTATAATTATCATACTGCAAATAAAACTGAAAGCTCTGTGTGTTTATAATCCACTATTTGGACTGAAGACCTCAAGACAGTTTTCTCCACTGATTATGACGTCTTGTACTTTGTAGATCTGAATGAATGTACAGAAAATGGTAGATTATGTGTCAATGGTGAATGTAGAAATACAGAGGGTAGTTATTACTGTGAATGTAACCCAGGTTATAAACTCTCACCAGACGGCGCCTTCTGTTCAGGTAGTGCGATAATTCTATATGTAGTTCTAAGATAAAATGAACCAGTTGATTGAAGGGATATGGAAATCATATTTTTTTTAAACAGTAGATTAAGATTTAATTTTTAATACCCCCATATAATAACCTATCATCAGAATACAGTTGTCAGTTGATTCCAGTTTATTTATTGATATGGACATAAAGGTTATATCGTCTGCGAATGATCCTGAAATGCCAGTCGATCGAAGCCTCATTAGAGGAAGGGGTCGACCGATATCATGGTGTCAGATTGAGCTTAAATGCAGCTAATTAGACAGTTATATCTTATACATCATTTAAAATGCTTAAAAATCACAATAATCGCGAAGACACACTCCTTGCTTTCTATAAACTTATTTCACATTAATAAACAAGTCTTTGCTTTGATTTGCACATATTGAACGATCAATTGTGAATATTTTCAGATTATGATGAATGTAGAACAACTGGAATGTGTACCAATGGAATGTGTATTAATATGGATGGAAGTTTTAAATGTATCTGTAAAGTGGGATTTACTTTAGCTCCTGGTGGAGAAGTTTGTATCGGTGAGTATTAGATTGCAGAAGAAGCATTTATAAAATCTCTAAAATAAAATACAAATATATCAATAAATGTGTTGTTAACAGCTTAGTTATTCAGATATATGAATGAAATTTGTCAGATATCAATGAATGTATTGTAAACAGGGATAGTTGTGTCAATGGGCAATGTATTAATAATAAGATAACTATTTCAGATATTAACGAATGCATTGTAAACAGAGATAGTTGTGTCAATGGACAATGTATTAATAATCAAGGTAGTTTCAGATGTGACTGTGCTGATGGGTTTACATTAGGTCCAGACGGTAGAACCTGTCTTGGTTAGTAGAATATATTTATTTTAATCACGTACACAATAATAAACATGTGATGTGGGTGGTGACGTGATCAAACCTGTTTTACACATGCACATCCTGGGTGCAATACATATGACCTTCATTACTTGTGACAGAAATAATACATTATCTCCCTAATACAGTCTTTTTTCATTCAATTCTTTATCTTGACCATAGAGTTTTGTTTTTATCCATTTATTTCTCTGTCTGGTCAGATACATTTGAATTTAATTTCGGTTATCGGATAGGAGGCTGAAACAACAGGCTCCGTTTGTCATAATAATAATTCACAGTGCAGTAAATTTACTTGTAATAACTATGCTATGGCACCATCGAATAGCTTTCATGTGGAACAAAAGACATCTGACAAAAAGTGAATGGATGTGGCAAACAGACCTTCTTACAGTGCATATTTATTACACATGATGTTGAGAAGTTAGTATATTTTCAGACACCAAAAGAGACTTCTGTTTCCCGGAAATAAGAAGTGGGCGATGTGTTAACCCCGTGGAAGCTACTGTAACCAAGTCAGTATGTTGTTGTAGTATGGTCAGGCCTGGAGTAGCATGGGGTTTAGCATGTGACCGATGTCCAAGTATGAACGATCCGGACTATAAACTATTGTGTCCTAATGGTAACGGTATGGACCATGATGGAAAAGGTCAGTTAAATGCTTGATTAATTGTTTACCAATTCACAGTAGCAAAAGAAACATGTGCTCATTTCGCGAATGAATTTACGTTTAAGCGGAGAGTATGGGATCTAGAGTAGTGCTATGTAGTAGATAGCAGTAGTTTATTGAAAATACAGCGCCTTATTAAATATGGTTACAACAATCACGTGCAATATTAAGACTATGTTTGCACTTTTATTGGGAATAAGACTTGTTCTCTACTGTTAGCCCATTATCCATTTATATCAATGCACTCCAACTGCGTTAAAAAACAAACGCTAAAAAACATGCTATTTATACATGTATTTTAATCTATTCTATTCTAGATATAAACGAATGTATCATGTTCCCTGGTATTTGTGAAAATGGTAATTGTGAAAATGTGAAAGGAGATTATCGATGCATTTGTAACAATGGTTACGAAATAACCAGAGGAGGCAAGAAATGTCGAGGTAAAAGCAGAGGAACTTATTTTCCTATAGAATACATGACAAAGACAAGAAACTTTGTGTAAGAGGGTCATTCTAATGGTTTGAAATAATATTATCTTGCATTTCTTGTGTTCCAATTGAAGTGTGACAGGTAGCACAGTTCTCTTTAACATTTCCATTTGATTAGATCCCTTATTATGATGAAGACACATGATTCAGATACACAATCCTCATCAGGATAGATAGGTTGTGAACTGGAGGTTAACTTTCCAAAACTGGGTCAAGCAGAAAAGAGCCTGAATATGTTTTGTATAATATCTAGATATCAATGATTGTGTATTGTTATGTTTTGTATAATAACTAGATATCAATGATTGTATATTGTTATATTTTGTATAATATCTAGAATGAGTGTATATTGTATATTGTTATATTTTGTATAATATCTAGATATCAATGAATGTGAGAGAGACAGGAGTATATGTGACGGTGGTAAATGTAGAAATACACCAGGAAGTTATAGATGTATCTGTCCTCCTGGTTTAATCTTTGATTCTACATCAAGAATGTGTGTAGGTAAGTTCAATTTAGATTATTTTAAAATAACTTTTTTTCTAATATTTTGAAATGATATCTCCCTGTTTTGCACGATGGAATGTAAATTAATTCTCTACGCAATCGACCCAGCTGTAAATGGAACCTCATAGAGTCTGGGAAAGATCATTGCTCAGAGACTTGGCCAAGAAGCAGTCAGTGGACAGCAGGCTACGCGGGTCTTTCCATATTCATTAAGCAGCAGAATCAAAAAAGTTTTAAAGACAGTCAAAACAAAAAACCAGAAAGTGTATACCCTAATCAAATTAGGTTAATGTAGTCATCCTGTAAAATTTGAAAATGAAATGTTTTGTATCTTACAGATGTAAATGAATGTCGTGAAAATCCGTGTATAAAGGGTCAATGTATAAATGTAGCTGGAAGTTTTAAATGTAAATGTTTAACACCTGGTACTATTTTGGACCCCACAGGAAGAATTTGTCTGGGTAAGTCAATTGGTAGACTGGACATTATAAACTTTCTTGACCCAGTTCTCATCAAGAAGAAATGCCCTGTTGTTCTTTACTTAGACTGCAATGGACATTACATCTTCGTACACAACTGGAGCAATATTCCCAATAAAATAGATATAGCACGCCTTCACATTTTATAATAATTCAGGGGCTTTTCAGTAAAAAAACGTAACCTTTTTTCGATTGCATGCGACATGCACGGGTTTAATATTGATACAATACAAAAATATTGTTCGTTTTGACGAAATATAGATATCAAGGAAATATGACAATGATATTGAACTTGCGAAAACAGTAAGCGCTTATAAAAAAATGAATACATCTTGAAAACAACAAACGCGAGTTTAAAACGATTATCATTCAAACATAAAATAAGCCTATAATAATTCGATTTATTTTATTCGATTTGTTACAGATAACAAACGAGGAGCGTGTTGGAGAACTATTAAAAATGGTGTATGTGAAGATAACATAGAATCTATGTTATTAAAAGGAGAATGTTGTGGTAGTATTGGTAAAGCATGGGGTAGTCCTTGTGTACCATGTCCAACACAATGTAAGTAGTTTATTGGAATACAAAAGAGTAACCCTGGAAGGATTTTTGCCCTCAGGGGTCGATAGAATCAACAAGTAATCTTTATTATTATAACATTGTCAATCTTTTTGTTTTAGCTGAACTGGCCTGTCCTAGAGGTTACGCTAATCGACTTGGATTGAATTGTGTTGGTAAGTACATTGTATCCACAGTTTATTGTTGAAAACTACTGTTCGTCAAAGAATGGTTCATTCAAACTTTAGAGCAGTAGCGAATTTTGCATACGTTTGGTAGAGTCCATATAAATTTGACGAGTCATGTCTTTGGAATAATAAGCTTCTCATGTTATCAACTCTTTTAGATATAAACGAATGTGAACTGTTCCCTGGTATCTGTGAAGGTGGTGGAACATGTGTTAATTTAGAAGGATCATTTAAATGTACATGTGATTTTGGTTTAACTTTAGATCCAACTGGACTGCGATGTGTTGGTATGATATTTTTATTTTATTTTCACCTCTATGCAGCGTTACATACAAAAGATTGTGTCTTGTTTACCACCAAGTTATATAACGGCCAGATACATGTAACAAACAAGCCGTTTACCCATCAACATTAGCATTTTATAGCAAGAAGCAATCCACACAATTGTTTGTATATCGTAGATTTGTGCAAATGGCGGTCTAGGATTCTGGTGGGATCCACATGTGAAAATCTTTTGACCATAAATAAATCATCAGTTAATCCTGTTGATCGGCTCTACATCATTACAGGTTAATGTATATATCATACTGAAATAGAAAATATCCTGGAGAAGGTATTATCCACGTTAAATGTGTTTTTTTTTTATTTCTTATTTTTAACTGCGGTCGAATGATGTCCAAACGCTTTCTTCAATATGTATTATTTATATGTAGATATGAGAAGGGATCGCTGCTATCAAGATTATAACAGAGGATTTTGTGTTCGACCATTAATGGGAGCTTACTTACGAAGTGATTGTTGCTGTAGTATTGGTGGAGCCTGGGGTGATCCATGCGAACCATGTCCGACAAGACAAACTGGTAATGACAGTTGAATACGAATGAATTTGATGAATCTTGTGTGTTAATCTTTTCTGATCTATGTTCTATTAGATGGTATAGATTCTTCCACATTTGGCAATCGGACAAGTGTGGATTGATGTCGATGTCCTTGGAAAAAATTATCCCGTTGCATTCTGTTTGCCGTTTAGATTTCCTGAAAGATTATGTTATTGATAAAGAACTCGTATACGATCCAAGCAACCTCATCTGCAAGTTTTGTCAATCCGCTATATTTGAATTGTAATATACGTAAAACAGTTATACTGCCTGCAACCATGGGCAGTAGAACAATGTTTCAGATTTTTCTTTTGTATTAGTACAGGCACATAATACGCCCTTTCCATTCAAATTAGCTGTTTCTCAATTTTTCAGATGCCTATGAGAAACTATGTTCTATGATACCAGGCCGGGAAGGTACTATCCCAGGAGTAGGTAAAGTTCCATTTTTTCATCTCATTTCGTGATTTCCTCAAAGGGCGGGCTTATTTTTACCTGTTTAGTTTTAATCTACTAATCTTATCTAATAATCCAAGGACTACAACCCCTAATGATGACAGCCTCGGGTGAATATTACATTGTATTCTTCCATTGCTGCCCTGCCACTGAAATACGATGCATTGCATCTGTATAGTTACAGGAGAATTTTTATTTTAACCATATTTTGATGACTATGTAGAAATAAATGAGTGTATGATGTTTCCTGGGTTATGTATGAATGGACGATGTAGAGATACAATTGGAAGTTTCCAGTGTACCTGCGACTCGGGCTTCGCTTTAGATGACATGGGTACCAACTGTACAGGTATTATCTTGATGTTTTCAATTCAGTGTTCCTTGACTGCAACGATTAAACTATTTTGCCCCATTTTTTATTTCTGAAATAGCTCAATGTCTACCGTGGACACCATTCTAACAAACTCCATTAAAAACCAATGTTTCTGGTGATGGTTATACTGCAGAAACCAGCTCCTGTCAGCTCCAATTCAAATAGAATCGGTTATGGATTGGTTATGTTGTAGTTATATGTGTCAAATTTCGTATTGTAGATATTGATGAATGTAGAATATCTTTAACCGGTGTATGTGCTAATGGTCAATGTGAGAACACATTGGGAGGATTTAGATGTATTTGTGATCCTGGATATGAAGGGGTTATGATGGATACTATGTGCATGGGTAAGTTATTTGTTGATAAAAATGATAGAGAGGAATACAGTGTACATGATGTTTAATGGCAAAGAATGTATTACGCTTAAATCAGTTTGAGAAAAATTAAAGGCCTGGGCTTGTATCATTTTCTATTAGATAGATAACCTTGTCGAAGTGATCTTTATTTCTAGCGTTTGATAACACTATTTAAAACGTCAAACCAAGGTCACCCAAACCCGAAATACTGGTGCTCATAGGCTCAGAGCAGGTTAATGTCGCCATAAGCGTGAATATAGTATAAGATGCCGTACGGCGGGCACCTTTGTCCACAATAATCGTCCTCTAGATCGTCACAGAATTGAGAATGTTTTAAGACAAGCATCACAACATTTCCATAAAAAAATGAAGTGCACATGTTCATAGATTTTTATGAGAAAACGCGTCGGGGAACGCAATGTAGTCGCAATATTGCTAGCGACTGTTTTCTTCACGTTTGTCCGCGTTTGTCTTGTTTAACGGGTACTATTATAGAACAGTTAAAAATTATTGTACATGGTATTTGTTTGTATGATATAGATATCAACGAGTGTGACCAAGATTCTACATTATGTCGTGGTGGTGCATGTGTTAATACTCCTGGTAGTTATAGATGTGATTGTCCAGACGGTCATCAGTTAAGTGAAGATGGATTATCTTGTACAGGTTTGTTGAAGTCATTTAAATACATTTATTTTGAATTGTGTATGTAAAGTTTTTCGTGCTATTAACATTATTTACTTGATATGCAGTCAATTGTTATGGAAAAGTGTACTATCTACTCAAGTTTTCGACTGTCAACTTTGCATGTCTGAGTTCCCGAACACTTCAAGCCTCGTAAAACACAGTTGACGATATATTGACTGCAGCTCATCGCATGATGCAGGCACGAATTTAAAAAACAAAACCCCCTTTATGACAATTTGTTTTTGAAAAGGAAGTTAACTAACAATCAAAAAAGAATTTGCAATTTGTAGAAATAGTGGAACTGTTAACCACTCAAAGCCATGTTCATAACAGTAGATCCAGAATACTTGTCATATCCCTATGTTCATTATAGATGTAGATGAGTGTGGAACTGACAGCAGTATATGTTCTAACGGACATTGTGTCAACTTTATGGGAGGTTACCAATGTATTTGTAGTCAAGGATTTGTTCCAAATGAACTAAAAACTACATGTATAGGTATGTATGACCCAGGCATCTGTCATAAATGGTATTTTGCGCTTTCTTTGGTATTCTTAGACCAGATAGAGTTTCGAAAATTCAATTCATCATAACATTATCATCAAAGAATTCACTTTGTCTTGGAAGATACACTATGACATGGTTTAGTCCAAGACTTTTTTTGTTAGATTCTCTGAATCTTCCACACAAATTTCATGCTCAGCAGCAGTCAATTCATGAAATAATGTTTATGTGGTAGACACAACTTCGACTGAACAAGACTGAGACTGGAAGTCTTCGGATTGTAGGTGGCAATATCGTAGTTTTATCGTAAAATAAAAGCTGTCTTATAAATTGAGAGTCTATGCATACCACAGAAAAGATTTAGCAGTTTTTTTTGTTCCATAGATGCTGATGAGTGTAGAGATAGAAATGGTGGTTGTGCTGATAGATGTATCAATACACCAGGAAGTTTTAATTGTGCTTGTGAAAATGGTTACACCTTGATGATAGACGGTAGAACATGTATTGGTGAGTATTAGATATACTTCTAAATGTTATTATGTGGACCAAAACATTGTTGACTAACACAGGCGCGTCTAGATGCACTTATGTTCACAAATTTGAATTTGGAATTCAAAACTTTTAATTGATATGTTGAAGAATGGTCTCCGGTACGATCTTGTCCAGTACCAAGTCGGATACCGGATAGGCGGATAATTAGAAATATTAGCGTTGTGGAAAGGGATACAGGGGTGATATACCTAGTGGCGTCAGGATATCCGATAGTGACAGGCTTTGTATTTTTCCACTCTGTAGATATTGACGAATGTAAAGATAGAGATACCTGTAAAGGCGGTAAATGTATCAACCAACCAGGAACTTATAGATGTTCTTGTGATGGTGGATTAACAATGTCTATTGATCAACAACAGTGTCTAGGTAATATTGCTGTTTTTTGATAGAGCTTACAGTGTTTCTTTTCCGTTTGACTTTTATTCATATCTATCAAACCAAAACGATGCAATCAGTTGCATTAAACGGAAATCTCTAGAAGTAGTAGTAGTAGTAGATTCCCAGAGCTTTGCTTTCGTCGTTCCAAAGGTCAAGTACATCTTTACAAAAGAGAATTGATATTAAAAATGTATTTGATCTCTCAACTGAGTTATTTTCTTATTACTAACCGTATATCTTATATAGGGGAGGTAAATCAAGTGACCATGTTTGTATGAAATTCTGATATGAAATCGCCATGATTCCCTTTTTTTTGTCTTACAGATATTGATGAATGCTTCTTGAACAGAAACCTGTGTTTAAGTGGATACTGTCAGAATACCCATGGATCTTTTATTTGTAAATGTGAGAATGGTTTTGGTGTAGATGGCAAAGATAATAATGCTGGTTGCACAGGTATGTTCCGCCGCGTTCAACGGTCAAAGAATCTTAGTACTGGTAAAAGGCCACAATATTGGAGACTTATATAATGTAGAATGGGGTTTTGATTTTCCAGAATAGTGGGTACCGTGAGTACAGAAAAACTTAAAGTTAATAATTACGGCATTATCGCTAGAATTGTTTTGTTTGAGTTCACTACATTATCGTTATAAATAATCTGGAATTACATTACATCATGCTGGAAATATGATACACGAGTTTTCTTTTGGGTGATTGATTTTTAAAATCAGAAGTGAGTGGGCTTTCAATTCGCTCAAACAAAGCTCTGCCTGTTGTATTTGTAGATATTGATGAATGTGTAACGGGAGAATCGGCTTGTGATGAGAATTCTAGATGTATCAATACTAAAGGTTCCTATAAGTGTGATTGTTTACCGGGTTTTACTGGTGATGGTTATACTTGTAGAGGTAAATAAAATTTACTCTTGCTATTAAAAAAACCCATGAAATATTACACAATACACTGCCTTGTTTTGCAACATGTTTTATAAAAAAGATTAGGTATTTGGGCGCAATCTCCCACGTGATTCGGGGACGCTTACAGCTTAATCATTATGATTTCCCGTCAGCCTTCCGTGTAGTTTCAGAAACTGGAAGTTGATGAACCACACCACTCGAATACTACTACAAGCAAATCAAAAATGACTCCTAAACATCCGTAGGTCGACCGGGTATCAGCTTTCACCTCTAATGCTTGAGCAATCGAGATCTATAGATGTTTATACACATGGACCTTTCAATGATTTCAGATATAAACGAATGTGTGCGAGATAATGGTGGTTGTAATAGAGATGCTACATGTGTCAATGGTCCTGGTAGTTTCAGATGTGTCTGTGATGATGGATTCAATGGTGATGGATTTGAATGTAGAGGTAATCATTGAAACCCTTTCTGATTTTGAGATAAAGAAAATGATTTTAATTTCCCTTTGGTATTACTGCATAGTCGACACTTAATTGAGGGAGAAAGCCATTGCATACTGCGTTATCGCACATTGGACTAGAGTACTCTTTCACTAACTGGAAGTTGATGAACCACACCACTCGAATACTACTACGAGCAAGTGATTTTTAATTTCCCTTTGGTAAAACTGCATAGCCGACACTTAATTGAGGGAGAAAGCCATTGCATACTGCGTTATCGCACATTGGACTAGAGTACTCTTTCACTATAATGTTTTACAAGTTTGAAATCAAAGCCCTAATCTACTTATGTTTAATATTAGACAAAAGCCAAGGATTCACAATCTGGTATCCATCTATGTAAACGTGCTGTATTCTTTTTGTCCAATTTGCGATTTGCAACCAACTTTTGATTTTTTGGTATCGATTAGGACTTACCTATCGTATATTACTTGTTCATATATATGAATTACTTCCAGATGTTGATGAATGTTCTGTGGATCCAAACTTATGTGAAAACGGACAGTGTATGAATTTCCCAGGTCTATTTAGATGTGAATGTGATATGGGATTTGCTCCCACTGAAGATGAAAGAGCTTGTGTTGGTAAGAATCTTCATGTTATTTGACAATTCTTGGAAGCACCAACCAAATTTTGATCTTGTATTTGTATTCACTTTCTGTTCTATCGTGGTTGCTGGTGATCTGAATATGAATTATGCATTAAATGAATTTTATAAAATGGTTTACACTACCATATTATTTTTTTTTAGTGTTCATCCGCGTCAAAGATAGCACTTGCTACACCTCGTGATGTTTTGGGTGTTTATTGTTATATTTTTACTTCAGATATAAATGAATGCGACATGTTCCATAATTTATGTGTAAATGGACGATGTGAAAATGTATTTGGTATGTTCAGATGTATATGTAATCAAGGTTATCAGTTAGATTTTACTGGAGGCAACTGCACAGGTAAGGAATGGTCGTAATGAAATTGAATTTTTCGGCTAATAAAGTTCGTGAAAGGATGTTAAATGAACGAAGTTTGAAGCACCAAGTCCTGATTTATTGTACATTAGGACAACACGATATCAGACTCTTCGATACCACATTCTTACATGGCACTGTGCTGTTCAAAATGAACCAGTTCATGCAGTAGATGTAGTTAGGCTCATATACATTATTTTATATTCTCTAGATATTGATGAATGTTTGAATCCGGACAATTGTCAATATGGTACCTGTATTAATAGACGAGGAAGCTATGTTTGTCAATGTTCAGCTAATTACGAACTGAATCCAACTGGTACTGGGTGTGTCGGTAAGCTTAACTTTCAAATCTAGAATATTGTCCTTTGTCATCATATTTCATATTTTGCTAGAAGCTTATCTCGAAAGTTTCGTCGAACTTATTTGTATTTTCCGTGCAAACAGGGATTTTCCACCCATGCAATTACGAAATAAACGACAATAGTATCCAATTGGTGGCTAAGAAGAAACGATCTTGAAAAGATATATTTGAAAGTGTTCACTGTAAAAGGAGGTTGGGACTGATTTACAGCATATACATCCTTTTTGTAGATAAGAGAAGAGGAACATGTTACATGACAGCACCTTTCTCAACCCGTGGTAGACTAGGTGTTTGTCGAGATGAGATAGCTAGTAACGTAGCTAGAGCCACGTGTTGTTGTTCTGTGGGACGAGGTTGGGGTGATGTTCCTGGTTTCTGCGAAGACTGTCCTCGTAATGGAACAAGTATGTTTTGTAATGCTTTGACATTATTTTACTTTTTTAACTTTTGCCAATTAATAAAATAATCAAGTATACACCAAAATACAAAGTCTGAAGGAAAACAAGAATGTTTATCTATATATATATATATATATATATATATATATATATATATATATCCATTGCTTCGCTACAACACATGGGTCATTGATACTGACATTGTATTTGAATTGAAATCCTGTTTTATTAGGTGAATACAATTCATTGTGCCCTGGAGGTCCAGGCTTCCGACCAAATACTCTCACCTTGGTGCTAGAAGATATCAATGAATGTGAAGAAATAGATGATCTATGTAAAGGTGGCGATTGTCAGAATATGTTTGGAAGTTATATATGTGTTTGTCCCCCTGGCTACCATCTTGATGGCACTATGCACAAATGTGTCGGTGAGTAATTTGGTATCTTAAATTAGAAGGGAAGGATATATCCTGCACTGGTCTGTGGCATTCCCATATTTGGAATTTCAAAGCAAACCATTGTCAGAATTTGAGAGCTCAAGACAGGACACCTGCTTTATCATTCAATTCCATGATGGGCGGCTATTTGGATCATATCATGCATGCTTCATTGCATTTTGTATCGTTTGAGTACATTCTGTTTTTCGCTTTGTGATAACAGATATTGACGAATGTCAAGTTGATGCCGCATTGTGTGGTCGAGGAACCTGCATAAATAGAGAAGGAAACTATACTTGTATCTGTCCAGAAGGTTATATGCCAATGGACGGTGGAAGAGATTGTATGGGTAAGTAGTAGGATGTTCAACAATTTTTATTGATTCTTGAATGTAAATTGGCACTGTTTTAAATGCCAGATCCCAGCTGTCGGTTACTGGGCTATCCATTTGCTTATATGATGAAATCTAGCATAAACAACTCTTGAAGTAAAATAGTTTTTGTTGTCTTGTTGTCACGTATCTTCTATTGGTAATGAATAGCAAAAGCCCAGTATTTAAATAAACTAGGATAGACCTGATAGTTTGTATGTATGTTTGTATAAAGATATACTAATGAGTGGTCTCAATGGGGTAAAAACTACCAATCTTGGCACACAAGTAAAGTTTTAGAATTTTATGATAGATAAATTCTTTCCATACATTAGATATGAGAAAAGAAGGATGTTTTATGGAATATTTGAATACTACAAGAAGACCTTATCGTACCATCTGTGAAAATCAAATATCCAGCAATTTAACCAAACGACAATGTTGCTGTACAGTTGGTGCTGCCTGGGGTAACAGATGTGAAATATGCCCACGAGAACGATCCTGTAAGCATTAATAGAATCACTTAAAAGAATTCAAATGGGTTTATAGCCCATTTATGTGTATTTAGGCACATTAAAAACTTATACTAGTGTCCTTGATACACAGACGAAAATCTGGAAATCTTCATCTCTTCAACACTTAGTCACTGAATATTCAAGATATAGCGATAATCATCGAAATAAACATAGTCCTATTTCATCACATATACCTATTCAAATAGCAAGTCATAAGTATCATTAGTTATTAGTCATATAGTCATTATATTAGTCATTAGCTATATCATTGCCAAGATATATTTGAATATATTATATATTTTCAGTACAATACAAAGTATTATGCGAGAGTGGGGCTCCAGACATTAAAGGTATGATTTGATTTTATCACTTTTAGACTGAAAAATAAAAAAAGTATATAAAGCACATAAAAATGGGTCATGTTATTTTCAAAAGCTACCTACAATTCATGTTCGCAAACATTTATACTGTACCGGTAAGAATGTTAATATTGAAGTGACTTCAGTCAACTGTGTATCTACTGTTGCAGAGACGTCGAATTGTCTGATAATTCCAGGGTGCTTTCTGATAAAGGACTCTACCTATTTATGAACAGTTATTTCAATAAATTTGTCATAATGATAATGTGGATGTATGTGTGTATTGTATTGCCACATCATTTGTTTTCTTCCAGGTGATGTCAATGAATGCGAACTGATACCTAATCTCTGTGAAAATGGACGATGTATCAACACAATTGGAAGCTTTAGATGTGAATGTTATAGAGGATTTAATTATAATGCTAACCTACATATTTGTGAAGGTAAGTTGATAGTGTGTTAGAAAAGAAATATAATTGGTTCTCAAGAATGTCTGCAAAAAGAGGGACATTTATAAAGGGACATTCCGCTTTATTAATGGGTTTGAAAATGTTTGTTGCTCAAATTTGTAAAAACTATACACCAATATCTAGCGAAATGTGTCCCTTAACGTACCGGAAACTAAACTGTTTAATTAACCATTTTAAAACAAATTCAGTTGGATTAAGTAGATACATAGATATAAATAGCATACTAAGAAATATTTTCAGGTGTAATTCACGTTTTTGATAATGAAAATGTTTTACAAAAAAAGCTGAATGTCCCTTTAAATTTCAATGTGAATGGTGATAATATCTATATATTGTTACATTCACACTCTTCCTTGAATGTAACCTTTGTTACAATTTAAAAGAGATTGTATTTCGGGAACACTTACAGCACTTATTTACTCTTTTCCAATGTCTTGTTGGACGTCTGAATTTTGTGTAAATTACAGTCGAGATCAAATTCAATAAAGTTCTGGGTTTCAGCTTAAAGCCAATTGGTTAGATAATGACTAGGGCGGCATGACTATTTTCCATAATAGGAAAACATTAATGAAATTTACATTAATCCATTTCAATACTTTATTCGGATTTAAGACAATTGGGTGTAATTATATTATAGATGAAAATGAGTGTCGACGATCGTTACCACCATGTATGGGTAATTCTGTCTGTACCAATACACCAGGCAGTTATCAATGTTCTTGTCCTGATGGTTATAAATTAACATCTGATAGACGACGGTGCCAAGGTTTGTAATCCCTACTCTATATAGCTTAATATAGATCCCATTTTTCATATATGTTGCCATTTATCATACCAAATATAACCTGATAGTACTCAATATTTCATATTCATACAATTGTTAAAGAGTTTGATTAATTGGCCTGATAATAATTCAGTCCTATTCTGTTCTCTCATTTTGGAGACTATTATCAGCACTATATACGGCTCAATGAAATGATTCCTTGAAGAGTCGATTCATATACGTTTCTCTAAAACATGTATTTAATTTTCCTTCTTCGTGGTTGTTTCGGCCTTAACAGATAACGGTTGGTCGGACTGAAATCTCGCAAGACCGCATGTGCCAAAAGCTATTTTGAACATCCTTCAAAAGGGAACTTTAAAAGATACGACTGATTTCAGAAACCTTGCAGAATTTGTTTATTAGATGGCCTCGTTCGTCTTCTTGTCCACCCAAAAATAGAAAACTAAGAAATAAAGTCTTTTTTTAATTTCTCATTGTTATCTCTATGTTAAACAGATATAAATGAATGTGAAGAATTACCTGGTGTTTGTGCTAATGGAAATTGTCTCAATTTGATCGGAAGTTTTAGTTGTATCTGTAGAGATGGCTTTAGATTGTCACCAAAACGTGACTCTTGTATCGGTAAGATTCCAAGATTTAAGCTTCTTCTAAACGCTGTTCTGCTGCCTAACCGAGATCCAGGCGTTTGTAACATGGGCATTAACGTTCTCGTCATTTATTTGTGGGATTCGAAATTAATCAGATAGACCTCGATTGTTTGCTATCACGAAAACAGATGTGCCTGAAACAGTCACTTTGGTTAGCAGAATTCTAAAACAAGTTAGTTACATTAGTTAATCTTATGTTAGCATGGCAAATCAATGCTATTTTCAGATGTTAATGAGTGTACGTCTAGACCTGGTATGTGTAGAAATGGAACATGTAAAAATAAAATGGGAGACTACGTGTGTCTGTGTGATCCTGGTTTTGAACGAACCTCTCGCGGAGATTGTGTAGGTATGTATAAAACCTCTTGGTATTTGGGATACATTTACCATAATGGCGGAAGTCTATTTAACCTCTCTTCTTATTTGATGAACTGAAAAAGCCCCCTCAATAGCGTCAGAATGAGACTGATTATCGACACTGGAATGCATCTGAAAAACCAGCACTGCTGTTCCTAATGTATCCCTTAACTCAGACCTTAGTTAGACCTTATGATGATATACGTACCCGTACTGTTATCTTCGTTTAAGTTATTTCTTTCCCACAGCGCGTTGTACTTTCCGTTTGCGTTTGCATTAGCTCTTTCTGGAGAAGAAAAGAAGAACGAAAAACCCTATTTTATTTTGTTTGGATGGTAACAAGCATGTCACATTTGATGGTTTAATATTAAACATACTAAGACAAAACTTTTCTGAAATCGTTTTCAGATATTGATGAATGTAGGACTATGTTGGGTATATGTCTTAATGGTAGATGTGCCAACAAAATCGGTTCATTTACTTGTATGTGTCAAGAAGGCTATGTATTATCTAATGATGGACTAAACTGTAGAGGTGAATACCATTTCGTTTTGTTATAATCAAAGTCATCTTCAGTAAGAAGTTGACAAAGACATATTTAAATTAATTTATTTTGGCAATGGTATATAAACAGATGAGAAAGTAACCATTTTCGTACGCTAATATCTCTTTATGTGGACGTATACTCTCCGTATCTTAAAGATCAAGTTTGAATTTGAACTCTTTCCGACTGTTCAACCCAATAAATTCTCTCAAATGCATGAGCTCCCTCAATTTTTTTAAAACTTGATAAATTAAGATCAATTTGAAATCTTTTTGCTACATTTTTAAAATTCCGTTTAAATTTCCATAAAGCTTCTCATTTTATAAACAGCACGCCGAAGCGGACATGATCCGCTATATTAGAATACATTAGAGACATTTAAAAGAGAGCCTTCTAGTTTCCAAATTTTTCAAAGGATATGCTTTGATTTGTTGTAGATATTGATGAATGTTCTACAAGAAGGGGTATTTGTCGACATGGTACTTGTCAGAATTCGGAAGGAAGTTTCTTCTGTACATGTTTTGATGGTTATAAATTAGACAGATCTCGAGATAGATGTATCGGTAATGTACCTCCTCCAAGTATTTTAATTTTAGAAATCAATTCAACGATGAAACATCATTTTCGTTTTGAATTTGAAATGCTGAATTTGGCAAGTCATCTAAAATAGTAGCTTCAATATGTCCATATTCAGACATTGGTATTTCAAATATACCGAAGGAAATGTTTCCAAGCTGTTTCTATCCCGTCAAACTGTTGCCTGTGTGTCCAGACGCCCATGAAAGATATCGTGTCGCTAAAATGTGGTAGCTCATATTTTTTTATATAATATTCTTAACAGGAAAGCTGATAAACCGAGATTTATCTTACAGATGTTGATGAATGTCGAGTGATACCTGGGCTATGTTTCAATGGTAGATGTCAGAATACTGCTGGAAGTTTTAGGTGTATGTGTCCTGCTGGATTTGTTTTAACAACTGATGGTCGAGAATGTCGAGGTGAGGCTATACATCTGTTTTCTCAACGGTGATAGAAGTAATAATTTTTCAGTCTATCTCGAGTGAAGCATGGAGGTTTTTTGTGCAGTAGTATGGAAAATTCGTTTGAGGCATTGGTATTTTGTGACCGTCAAATTTTGTCTTGATGAAAAGAGCCATGCATCATTGGGCTTCTACGTCTATGGATATTCTCATGACGGGTTCCATGGGGGTATTCTCTTCAGCAGATTGAGAAGTACATGTTATTGATCTGAAATGTGGAAATGTGTCAATGAATTTGTTATTTTTTGAACGAAAAGTGCAAAACACTTGCCTTGTACTGTTACCTCATATTAAAAGCGGTAGTCTGTTCTAGATTAAATCTGTATGTAACTTTGCTAGGCAAAATGGCAGTTTACGGTGTTCAGACAGCTGATCAATTGATTAACTTCGATTTCCATCGGTATGTTTATCATCCTAGATATGAGAAAAGGCAACTGTTACCGCCGGTTTGAGAATGGTAGATGTTTAGAACCGCGACCAGTAAATACAACCAGAGATCAGTGTTGTTGTACAAAAGGAGAAGCTTGGGGAGGCTACAATTGTGAAATCTGTCCATCCGAAGGGGATCGTAAGTTATTGTATCATAACATCATTTAAAAAAAAATCGACGACATGAAAATGACTTGATCGGACGAGTATGATTCATTGGATGTAGCTTACCATGTGTATTAATCACAAATCGCCAATATTTTTGTTTCTATTTATTGACAAGTTTCATTGCCTTAACACGTTATTACTAACACTGCAATACCCACCTTTCTTGTATCATGGAATGCAGCAAGGTATAAGATGCAAATATATTAGCTTGGCATTGTGAAGATGACTTAAGAGTGGGTACTATTTTGCCTTGAATCCAAAGACATTATGATACCACCCAAAGGAAAGTCAGAACGGATAGATTCTGTGATAGCCTGGCCTCTGGGCTAGACTATCACACTGTCACACTGACATTTTCTGACTATTTTAAATTACAGCTGGATTTAGACATCTATGCCCTGAAGGTTATGGTTATGTTAAGATCATGCCGGGAGAAATAATGAGTGGTAAAATATTTTCTGTCTGTTTACCATATTTTTTAATATTCAACAAAGACTAATAATATTTCTTGTCCAGTTTGCATATAATATTTCATGACAGGGAGTATCAGGGTATTTATCAACCCAAATCGAAAACTGTTCAAACCCAGGGTATTTGGATTTTATTTACACTAATAGTATTCCGTGACAGGTCACGAACCATATAATTACTATATACAAATGATACAGACGAATTTATAACTTTGAAGGATATCTTTTCTGAACCAATATGAACATAACGAAATAAATCGTGATTTATGTTTGTAGATGTAAATGAATGTTTGATTCATCGTGGTATATGTGAAGATGGTGTTTGTGTCAATACTGATGGCTCTTTCCGCTGTGAATGTAGACCAGGTTATACTCTGGACATCACTGGTACCAAATGTGTCGGTCAGTGTACTGTTTGGTATAATTAGTCTTATAATTGTTGACTACTAACATGCCAAAAAGCAATTTCTATAACACAGTATCCTACTCCGTATCAAATTGGGGAAAGTCCTTTGGTTTCGTACTCTTAATAGAGCAAAAGTTGAATGCTATCTCTCATATTTTTTTCAAAAAACATAGAAGACAATGACATATGCCTTTGGCCAATAAAAGCTTATTCAGTTATAGACTTAATTTTACTTTAGTCTTAATGCAACTTTTCGGTTATTTTCAGATGCCAACGAATGTATAGATCGTAATATGTGTGGAAATGGAACATGTACCAATATGATTGGGGGTTTTGAATGTGACTGTAGGCCAGGATTCACTCCAGGAACGTCAGGGAAATGTGAAGGTAAATCTTGAACACCTTTTACTTGACACTTAGCTGCAAATTTGGCACAAATTGTATTTTAAATTACACAGCAGTTTGGTCTAAATCAGTCAACATATAATTTCTTTTTAATACCATGTTGATTTGGAAGTCGCTTAGTTACGTTTTCATTATTTAAACAAGTCTGTGTTATTTTGATTTCAACCGCAGTGGTGTAAAGTAATATTGTTTTTTTTCAGATGTCAATGAATGTGTAACATCAGCAAACCAATGTGCTTTCAGATGTGTCAATATACCCGGATCTTTTAAATGTGTATGTCCAATGGGATATAAAATTGCAGCTGACAATATTCACTGTGAAGGTAAAAGATATTGTTTTTCAGGGCCCTTTTAACACATACTGTTATATTGTCAAAATATGTAATCAAATCATCATTTTCTGTATCTTATTGAGCTAAGAAAATCGGCTTGTTCTATGACATATACCTATGAAAGACTAGGTACAATATGCTAACTCTCAGGGGAAAATGGGCACTTGTACAGTTACGTGCTGCACAGAATATTGACACCAGTTACTTGGAAAGGCCAAATTGAAAAACAAACCAAAAGTAATATTGAGGGGAAATATATGGATATGTTATAACGTTTTTTTCAGATGTAGACGAATGTTTGACGAGAACCAATAGATGTAAATATGCCTGTAAGAATATTATGGGTTCTTTCCTGTGTGTCTGTCCTGAAGGCTATCGTTCTGTAGGAGCAGACGAGTGTCAAGGTAAAGTTATTTCGTCATCATTCATTCTTTTTCATTTGTCCCTTAAAGAGAACAGAGTTCGATTTAGACCTATAAGAAAGCATATCCATGCCCGTAGCCCTCCCCCCTCCTTAGAAAAATGTACCGGTCGCTTTTTAAAATACACCTTTTCTTTTTCCTGAGTCAATAGGAGCGGCAGGTAACTGAGTCTGAGTGAATGACCAACAGTGGTCATTCTGGTCAGGCATTTTATGGTGGAGTAAGTGCACCAATCAGCTGCTCATATGATGAGTATTATGAGATGAGATATAATGGTTCAACGAGATATTAAGTATTCCTATCTGTAGGCCTACTGTTTTTAAATATCTTTCTGTTTATACTTAGCTGAGGATGAAACCAGACATCATAGCTTTTCATAACATTTTTAAATTTAATTACATTAGAATAAACAATTTGTTACAATTGAGTTCGTTGAAAATCATAAAAAGTCTGCAGTAAAGCGTCATTGGTAACAAAATAATTGGTCTGATACTGGATTGTAATCTGTCCTGTCTCAAAATTCAAAAGATTTGATTGGTTGATTATAGATACTAACCAATAGACATATATTATCCTAAATTGTATTCATATGAATCAAACAACCCAAAGTAGGAAAATGGATAAATATTTGATCAAAAAAGACAAATTGCTTGATGGTTCCGACAATACTACGACTGGCACTGGTATCAAAACCACAGCGGGCAACACAACGGATGCAGTACCAAGATGCTCTGAAAAGACACATTCGGTTCTAGTACCGCTGTGTGTGAAAGAAGCTTTTCAACTCTTACTCGCGTTGGCTCGCCACAACGACGATCTATGTCTCAGCTTCGCCAGCGCAATCTTGTTTTTCTTTCCTTCAACAGGAAGCGTACACGGAAAATTAACTTGGACGTATTTGTTCAACGTTTTACCATAAAACATACCGGACTACGTTTAAAACTAAAACGGCAATAAAAATGTAACGTATTATAACTTGTGTGTTTAAACAAAAGTAATCTCGAATCTAAAATACTCCGTGAAAGTCGTTTCCCGACGTTCAAGGTGCTTTGCTAAATTGCCCCCTCAATTGCACGTACTGGAGTACTGGTCAGGCTACGGGCCTGAGCATATCCCGCAATTTCCATTATCTATCAGGATCAGAACAAGTTAATGTGGAAGTGTGCTCTAATTTACAATTTAAAATACCCAAAGTTTTGTGAAATTTAAAAATAAAACACTATGACTTTCGTTGAACAGGGATAACTCCCTTTACTAACATTATTAGAGAAAAGTAACATAAATTGGAATTTAATTGACATTTTCTCCATTGAGAGAACTTTCTCTGTTAAAAAAAAATAATTTAATATATATATATTGTGTCTGCTCACCGTTTTCTACTCCCACAACTTCAACCAATGAAAACATTCCCAATATTATATTAATTAAATAAATATTATTAATTATATTAAGCGTGTTTTACGTTACAAAGATGTTTTGTTTAAAAAAGTGAATTCTGTCAAATTATTGAGAAATATTAATAAATTCAATTTTTTTTTAACCAATATTTTAAGAAGATTGCTTTAATATCTTTTTGGAGTAAATCGTCTAAGAGAGAACACTCAGTAAATGTCTTTCTTCATAATTGATGTGTTTTTAATGTCTTGAACATCTGACATTAGAAACAAACAACCATTTCGTAAAAGGTTAACGACCTAGGTTCTGGGGGGTCCTTTCTACCAACTGGTCCATTGCCTTGCTCTTTGCATTCCACATATTATCCATATCTATTTACAGGTTGGTCAAATTATATAATGAGGAAAGACAACGTATTCAAATCATTCGTGTTATTTTGGGTCAATCATTGTAACTGTTAATGTAAATTACAACTGGTCATGAGAGTCTGAGATCTAAATCGTTATAGTCTAAATCATCGAGATTGAGACTATCTGTGTCATCAAGTCACAAAAGAAAATGTGGGTTAGGATAAGTCAAATGCTATCTGTTAATTGGGTTTTGACATAATATTTGAAAACGAAGAATGAACAATTCCAAATGAAATTGTTTACTCTGAAGAGTGTAAATGTTTTGTTTTTTACCAAACGTGTTTCTCATATCATAATTTGTGTGTTTGATACAACCAACAATCAGAAATGGAGCATTTCGGGGAAAAAGGTTAAAGATTAAGCCATTTCTCTTCTCAACTAAGCCTTTGTTATTCGATGGAGTTATATGATTATAATATAGAATTGTCTTTTTTCGACAGATATTGATGAATGTAGAGCTACACCAGGTTTATGTACCAATGGTCGATGTAGAAATACACAAGGTGGCTATCGGTGTGATTGTAATAGAGGTTACGACCTCAGTCCAGATGGAAAACGATGTTTTGGTAAGCTGCTGAGATTGTTAACAAACTTTTCTTGTGCTTTTATGCCCCATGTATGTACTCTTTGGCAGAGTGGTCCAAGGTATTATTGTAATAGGAATTAGGAATTTGTCACCGCAAAATCATTATTAAATCGTATTACATTAAAGTTCTGATGTTTCTGGCAATGGGCCCTAGGGTTTTTGATAAAGTTGATTGTTGACCATAGAATCATTCATAAAACACACATTATTCTGTATATTACAGATGGTAGATCAGGATATTGCTATCCCACACTGCTCAATAATAGATGTGAGAGAACCAGGACCTCTCAGATAGCTACTAAATCAGAATGTTGTTGTGGACTTGCTGCTGCCTGGGGACCACGTTGTGAACGATGTCCTAGAATGGGAACAGGTATTCTTTCAGTTATTACTTTCTTTTATTGTGGGTTATTATTAAAAAAGGCCATATATCATACCGAGGAAAAGTACATGTTCAAAACTGCCAAAGTCGAACCGGGCCATGTAAAGACATATGGATATTCGATATTTGTATGCCGAATCTTGTTTGTTCTAGTTTGATTTAAAACAATGATTTATTTTACTGGCAACATTATCCACCTTGTACTGTGACTTGGCGTTTATATAAGTACAATAGTGTAGGAGTAGGGTGTAATGCTTCATTTCGTTTCGCGTGGACGTTTAGTATTGGTTTTTATATTTCAGTTGGTTTTAAACAGTTATGTCCGAGTGGTCCAGGTTTTACTCCAGATGGAAAAGGTATTTACTTCAGAAATGGATGTCCATCTTGTTATCTTTATTTGGACATGACAAATGATTCTGCAATAAATTTACGAACCACTTTTCAAAAATCCCGTTCTGTGATTTAAGTGATTTAAGAGGATTCAAAAGTATGTGTTTTGGGGACACTTATAAATACTTTATAGAGACCATTTCACTATAGTTGATTGGTCCCGATATACACACACAAGATAGAAACACCTTCTAAAGCATCTCAAATTCCAACTTCTGTTAATTGTGTCAAACAAAGACTATATTCTTATATTTCACCTGTTGCCTTCTGTTCTGTAGATATTGATGAATGTATTGGTATGCCTGGTGCCTGTACTAACGGTAGATGTTTTAACACTATGGGATCATATCGATGTGTTTGTAATCCTGGTTACAAAGCTGACCCATCTGGAAAGATGTGCACAGGTAGGATTTTTCTTTTTTTATCTTTAAGTATGTCAGGTACTTCATAACGCCTTTTTATTAGTCTTAAAAAATTCCGAAAGCGACATGGGACCATCGTTGTTTTCCATCAATATCCGTAATTTTTCTGGAGTAGGCTACTATATACAGGGACCCATCTTTCATATAAACCGAAAATCGTGTGCCCTCCTCTCTACATCGGACTCGATGAAGCAATTTCAGCGGAAGACTAAGATATCAATGCTCTATAAGTTCAGTAAATTCAGTCGACAGTAGTAATCGGATAGTAAATGTTAAAACTGACCGATACTATATTAAAGAACTATTGGACAGAACTATATTGTAAATTATTATATCAGTGAATACAAATTAGTTTATTTGATCAACCGTTTCATTTCCTAAACATTATTACCAATATTGGTTAACGTATAAATACAAAACAATTTTCACGATAGAGACAATGTAATGTGTGTCTTTAATTCTTCGTCAATTGTCATTGTCATTCACTTAACAATATTGCGAGATAGAACCTTGTTGATTCTTGCACTATGGTGGATCCAAAAGCTAAACATTAAAAAAAACTACAGACATAAACATGCGCTTGCAGATAACTTAACACTTTCATTAAGAATGATATTTTTAACTGTGATGTATCACTTTAACAATAGTCTGTCAATTCGATATAAGGGAACGTCGGTCTTAACTTTATAAAGAAAATTAAAATGATTTTCATTTGACAGGATAATAATTGCATAAACAAAATAAATAAAACATGTATTGCACTTGACCTAAGTCTGACCTAATTTTTGAAAACTGGAGCAATACCATATATATTTATAGATAATTGTAACACATATAGACAATGGGGCTTAATGAAGAAAAATTATACCTGAAGCAGTTTTATTCATTTAAAACGAAGGACTTGTGAAAATCTTTAATCCTCTTAAAATGAAAAGAAAATAGGAAAATCACTGCTACAACATCACTTAAACATCATTGTTCTGTGAAATTGATTGTTTTTACAACTCACTGAAGGGAATGGATTATTTGCCTGTAATCGTAACATTTATTGGACTGGCTGGAAGCTGTAATGTCAGTCAATTCGTAGGAGATTACAAGACTTTACTTTATTCTATTGGAAATCTTGAGCAAGGATGTGAATAATGAAAGAGCAATGTCTGTATTGTTAGCCACTGGCAATCCTAGCTGGCAATCCTAGTCTATAGAAAGCGGTATAAATGCTATATGTGTAAAAGATTAGTACATATTGGCTTAAAGATTTATCTTCCAGTAATCACATCACATATTCATCATCTGTCACATTGTCATGCTTATAAATATCAATATACAACCTCTATGGAATCTTTAGATATTTTACTAGGACACGTTTTGAGAAAGTTCGTTTCTCATACCTAGTTAACTTCAATAGTGAAATCTAAATAGTTAATATTTTCACTGCAATAACATCTACAAATCATAGAATATTGAATCAAATTCAAAGTCACGTGGATTGTGACAAACAATTAATGTCTGTATTGACTTAAAATATAATGATACATCCAATTGTATACTCTTTCATTCACATTTATTTACGATACAGAAGAAACAACATAATTATTTGGAATCTGATAACTAAATGGCCTACAGAGGTAAATAGCATCTCTCTTCCAATGTCGGAATTTAGAACCTACCTGCGTTATTTATGTATTTTCATATTTCAATGAACTAACTGATAATCAGTCGTGTGTGCTCAAAAATCATCTTAACAGGACTTCTATCATATTATTTTATCTCTTCTTTCAGATATTGATGAGTGTGCTCTTGTGCCACCTAAATGTGATGGTAACTGTAGGAACACTATTGGAAGTTTTATATGCTCATGTGAAAAGGGATACTCACTGTCGATTGATGGACATACATGTCAAGGTATTATCTGTTTATATTCTAGAACCCCTTTTGTACGAGAGGTGTCAAAGAAGTAGTTTGTAATTTATACAAAACTGTTTTACTTATTTTTCAACACAATCTCCCTCGGCCTCAATACACTTGCTCAACAGTTACTCCGGTAACACGTCAGAAATCCACTGTTTGTCGCGTAATACAGCAGTAATGCCTCCGTAACTGTTAATTTAGTACAGATTTGACGAAGAGTCAAAAGAGTATTGTCCTGTAAGGTTTGAACCATGGTACAATTAGTGGAGTTCGGGTGCTATTCGTTCACGTGGAAGTCGGAAACTTCAGGGAAACACCTCATATGTAACATAAATTGCAGCAAGGTCTTAGACCATTATTTGTCATGTTCTTACCTCATACCGTTATGTATATATGTCAATATTTCCTCTCTGAATAAACACTGATTCTGTCACTTGCATTACATTGTTATAGATAGTGTAAAGGGGCCAATTTCTCTGAAATTTCCTTTGTCAACAAGAATCTAAATCCAAATGCAAATTGATTCTTTCACCCTTCGAATTTCTAATAATAGTATGAATTCTAATAGCTTTTTGTACATCCTAAAATAATTTCTTTAGAATGCAGAATTTGTCATTTACCAGATATTACGGGGATTTATAACGCCATTAAATGAGTATTCTAAATATAGGACGCTATTTCTCTCAAATGTACAGGCTTAGGATAGTTCCAAATCCTATAAACTTTACAGATTGATAAAAATCTTAAATATAGCTCGAGATATCCAGTTTCCCTTTTGTCTTGACAACAGCCTTCCTTAACATGCCAGTTGTCGCTATATTAATCTAACCCTCTAGTTAAACCATTGTTAACAGTGTGTTTACAATACAAGAAAGTGCTCTATAAAAGATGCTGTGACAAAGTCATCCTAACAGAGTTATTAGTTTGTTTGAATTGACAAACATGCTCTTCGTTGTTGACATGAATCAATTAATGAAAATCTAGAGCTGAATTTGAATTTAAATTGATTTTTTTAGTCCTACTATGACAAATCGAACCATGTTCTGTGTCTTTCAGATGTCGATGAATGTCTGATGAATCTACACAATTGCCGCAATGTTAAATGTATAAACACAGTGGGTGGGTTTGATTGTGAATGTCCAGAAGGATATCGACGTGGTTCAACTGGAAACTGTGAAGGTAATTCTACTCCAGAAAAAAATTGAAAAATTGATTCTACTTTTACTGCCAAAATCGCGTTAGATGCATTCTCCGCCTTCTTAGATTAGAAATTGACCCCTCGCCGCGATAAGTACCCTCTAAAATTCAATAGGGGACCGAGGTGCTAGAATGGGCCCGTCAATGAAATCCTGGCTACGCCACCCCCAGCTCCATCACAAGAGAACATAGGACGCTTTAAAAATGCATCTGTACAAATAAGAAGCAATGTAGCCACTAATCGTAGCAATAGTCCCGTAACAATAAACTTCCAGATTTGAGTCTTTGTCAGATTGTTTTAATCGTTAGCTTGTACTTTATCCTTTATTACGTTGCTCTGGTACAGATTCCTCCTTTGTATATGTATGGAGCTGTCCTTTTTCACAGCCGAATAAGACAAAGGCAAATGTGATTTAAAAAAACTTATGATTTGTTACATAATTTTCATTTGTAGATATCGATGAATGTTTTGAGAAGGTCGATCTATGTTCCCCAGGAACATGCCGTAATACCCCTGGTGGTTTTAAATGCATTTGTCCTAGAGGCTATAGGCTAGACAAGACAGGACAAAAATGTTTAGGTAATTCCTTTTCATTATCATTGATGAATGGCAAAGGTTAAATTATATCATGTTTCTACATTTTTTTGTATGTTGTTATTTTTAATTCCACACTCAACGCTTAATTTGAAATAAAAAAGTAGGTGTATTCTTTATAGGTTAAGTATAGAAGGAAGTTTAGAAAAAAAATTTCATAAAAACTTTCTGGCCTTTCTCAAATAAAAAGACGAAAGAAAGAAGTTTCTTGAGTAAAATATTAGAGATATTCCAAAGGACATTATTATATTTAATTGACATAAATTTTGTAACAATTTTATCTGTCACTGGCAAAGGAACGTGATTTCTTCACAGACAAAATCTTAATGATGTTGAAATATTGTAGTAGAATGCCGATTAAAAACAATCTGTACTCCTACGCAGTAATTTGTGATTTTCAAACTTCCATTTCATAAAAACACTGTGACGATTTTTAAAAATGTTGTCATTAATTCCAATCTTATCACAAAGAATCAATGTGTCACATTTTCGATGAATGTGTTGATGATAAATGTGATCAAATCCATATATACACAAATGTGTTGATGATAAATGTTATATATTTCAAATCCAGAAGAATGTGTTTATGATAAATATTATATATTTCAGATCTAGATGAATGTGTTGATGATAAATGTTATATATTTCAAATCTAGACGAATGTGTTTATGATAAATATTATATATTTCAGATCTAGATGAATGTGTTTATGGTAAATGTTATATATTTCACATCTAGATGAATGTGTTGATGATAAATGTTATATATTTCAAATCCAGAAGAATGTGTTTATGATAAATATTATATATTTCAGATCTAGATGAATGTGTTATGATGAAATAATGTTATATATTTCACATCTAGATGAATGTGTTGATGATAAATGTTATATATTTCAAATCCAGAAGAATGTGTTTATGATAAATGTTATATATTTCAGATCTAGATGAATGTGTTGATGATAAATGTTATATATTTCAAATCTAGACGAATGTGTTTATGATAAATATTATATATTTCAGATCTAGATGAATGTGTTTATGGTAAATGTTATATATTTCACATCTAGATGAATGTGTTGATGATAAATGTTATATATTTCAGATGAAGATGAATGTGTTTATGATAAATATTATATATTTCAGATCTAGATGAATGTGTTGATGATAAATGTTATATATTTCAGATCTAGATGAATGTGTTGATGATGAAATAATGTTATATATTTCACATCTAGATGAATGTGTTTATGATAAATGTTATATATTTCAGATCTAGATGAATGTGTTGATGATAAATGTTATATATTTCAGATCTAGATGAATGTGTTGATGATAAATGTTATATATTTCAGATCTAGATGAATGTGTTGGTGATTAATGTTATATATTTCAGATTTAGATGAATATGTTGGTGATAAATGTTATATATTTCACATCTAGATGAATGTGTTGATGATAAATGTTATATATTTCAGATCTAGATGAATATGTTGATGATAAATGTTATATATTTCAGATCTAGATGAATGTGTTGATGATAAATGTTATATATTTCAGATGAAGATGAATGTGTTGATGATAAAATAATGTTATATATTTCACATCTAAATGAATGTGTTTATGATAAATGTTATATATTTCAGATCTAGATGAACGTGTTGATGATAAATGTTATATATTTCAGTCTTGGGATTTCTTTTCTTTGTTTAAAAAATAGAATGTGGATGATTAGCCTGTCAATCCTCTCATATTTATGTGGTTCTGATAAGGCTATTATAACAGTTTAATGATAAACGAATGTTTTAAAATACTTTTCAGATGAAAATGAATGTGCTGATGAATATCTGTGTGGATTTGCTATCTGTATCAATTTACCAGGTTCATTTGATTGTGAATGTTCTGGTAGTGGGGTTTATGATTTTGAGCATGGATCGTGTGAAAGTAAGTCAAACATATTCACTATCTGGATTTCTTTGGTGGATTTTGCTCTCTCTATGTGCTGATAAGATTTTGGTTAATACACAGTACAAAGACGTGAACTTCTAAAGATGATCCACGAATTTGTTGAATGATCCAACAATTCAGAATGTTTATAAGGGTTTTTAGATCAAAATTATTATTAGTCCAACCAGATGCAGGACAAAACTACTTAATAATTCTGTTTCAGATGTAAATGCTTGTGGTGGAAGTCCATGTCTATTTACATGTTCAGCATCTCTTAATGGATTCCAGTGTGGTTGTCCTTCTGGATTCCAACCCATGGGTCCTGGGTATGTATAACAAATTCTGAAGCAATAGAATGTTTTAAGTAAAAAGAATAGTCCTTTTGTTAGAGAAGTCAATTCTTAGAAATTTTCGCCTTACATTTGTAATATTAAGATAAGGGAAAGCATCAACTCGTGGATATCGCAGATTCTCTGAAAATGTACTACATAATTTATATGATGGGAGAGAAAATATGACATAAAAACTTTAAAACTTGATTAAAAAGCCATGCAATTATGATCTATTCCAATGCATTCACGTAATAATTCACGCATACCCATTGTCGTTACACAATTATCAACAAGTAAATCTATATTTGGCAAAGAACCTTTATGCATGACTTAGTCATTTGTTCTGAAATGGATTGACAACATATTTTATGAATGCAATAAAACTGAATGATATTTTATGTCGGTTGCAACACACAATGTTTTATCGAAAATAACTGTCGTTGTATTTGAAGCTTCATATACAGCCTTTTTATTTATATCAAATAGGAAATATGTTTGATGTCTTTATATTATTATTAGTTGTTTCATTGTGAATCAAAGCATTTAGTCAATTTCAGATTTGTGAATTCATCCAATTTCTTATCACAGAAGGCAATTTCATTCCTTAATGGGGGAACTATAAATCATACTTTAATTTGAAGAACTTTTGTTTATTTAAGGTTATAACAAACCACAATACGTTATCCACAAATGTTTTAAAATTTATTTGGAAGCGTATCTTAACACCCAAACCATGGGAGTCTGTGCTCCTATTATACTTCAGGTTTACCAAGATGATAAAGCTCAATTTCAACTCACCGCGACACTCATGTAAAATCAGACCCACAGAAATGTTCCTTGTTGGTTTAGACTGTCTAAACTTCCTTGTAATCGTGAATTTTTATACGCCCACATTATAATTTGGAACTACAATTTTCATCCGATTTAAATGAAATTTGGTGTGATCAATTATAATTTGACGATTTTTCGATTAACGGAATTTGAGTTATTGCCCTTGACTTAGTAAAAACTCATCAAAATTTGTTTGCTTGTTAACGCGATAAAGGTGACAGTTTATGTCAGAATTTTATTAAAGTTTCTGTGTTTGATTAAATCAACAATATCTTGCACAAATTAGATATTTGGTATGATTTGACACAGATTGGTGATATACTGTAAATGTATCAGGAAAGTGGACGCATCTTGCTAGGCAACCACTTGTTATCATTATGGAACCTGAGAGCTGTGTCAGATGATACAGTTATCATTAAGTTTTACTCCTACCAATCTTGGAAGCTCTCAATACAATCTTCTTGTTTGCTTTCAGACACTGTATATCAACTATAACGCCACCCGTAGGAGGTGGAATACCCACCTATCCCGGCGGTGTACAGTTACCCCATGTACCTGCACCCGAAGGAAAACTACCCGGGGGTGAAGGATGTTATCATTGTGATAAAGATTTTGGTGATATACCACTGTCTAAAAGGAATAGAAGAAGTACTGAAGAAGAAGATGACGATCTCAATATGTTAATCAATAAACACTATATCAAACAGAGAGCCGAGAAATACTCCAGAACTAAACGAGATACGCTGAAAAGAGAACATTTAAAGGTAAACTATTGTAGTTTCATGTGGGAAACCTAACATTGATAAAGGGGTATGTTTCACGAATAATTAACTCAGATGATTTAAGTTATTTGTTTGGTCAGTCAGTAATATGACTGTATTTCTTAGTCGAGAAATTAATTTCGAATCAATCAGATTAATAAATGAAAAATATTATACCACCGAATGATACACGATCACTTGATGCACGTAGGTGCCAATTGAATATTTTAGTCATGGCGAAAACATGAGGCCCTATTTGACGACCTATGGAAGATGTAACAATCATACTTACAGCTTCCGAGGTTCTTAATCTGCATTGAAGACCGCTATCTAATGCTTAGTTTTCCGCTCCTTGAATAAATGTTATTTCTTTTTATTTTAAGTAAGCCCTCTCCTCGACATCGGGGAAAATCTGTATTTAATTAACAATGATAAGTTATTGTGGGCAATTAGATTAAACTAATTAACCCTTTGAACGTTTCCTCGTCCAAGAGGCGTTTCCCTTTAAATATTGATTGAACAACTGATAATATAGCTGTGTAGGGTTTATTTTGAAAAGAAAGAATTACGCCGTTTGGTTTAAAAACGAATAAAAATCACCCCTGAACATACAAATTATTGCGACCAACCAGTAAGCTGGTATCGATATTATATTATGATTTATTTTAAAGTCTAGTAAGATACTCTGATTTTTATTTTTGTATAAAAATTCCAAAGTTTTTGGTCATATTTCTCTATTGTATTTGAATTCTAATTAGTTCAAGTTTTTATCAATTTCTGGAGGAACCTGGCGTAGACTCTCCATTCCTAAAGGTGATGAGTAAAGTTTGGCATGATTGAAAGTAACGACCTCTGTCCCTGTAATTAACAATTTCTCCATGTCATCTGTACAATTAGAACCCTTATAGAGAAAATCCATATTTTTAATCTACATTGGAGACAGTTTTTAATTATAATTTACCATTGATTAAATGATTACAGCTTATTATTTACAGGTTTTTCTGTGTCCTGTCGGTAACCTTATTATCTCCATATTTTACTTTTAGAGACACAGAGAAATGTCTGGAAATACCACTAGACAAGCAACACCGATTCACTCACAGAATTCAACCGAAGGACCATTAGAATTGATTATAGATCGAAAACAAACGAGACCTAAAGCCCGAGTACTTAAAGTATTACCGTCGCTCACTGCCTTAAATAATAATGTTAGATACAAGATAATTAAAGGCAATGTAGATGGTTTATTTTCCATGCATAAAAAGAAGGGAATAAGTTCTCTTCACTTTACAAGACGCCTTCACAAGTCGACAGTATTCAATTTAGATATATTATGTAGCCCCATAATCAGCGACTTGGATATCGATGAAACTTTCGTGCATTTACAATCATTTGTTATTCATTTAAAAATTCGTGTTCAATAAGTGCCTTTTTAATAACCGATGATATTTAAAAAGATAGGGCAGAATAATGATATTTTACTAAATTTACGAATTCTTTCAATTATTATTTTAAAGAATTACTAAAAGACCTGGATCCATTCAAACCAACCGGAAGCCATATAACTGATTTCCGGTTTGATGAATCCCTGGAAGCGATTGGCTCTTATATCCTTCTATCCGGCTTACAATGTGGGATTTCTTTGAACAGAATCTTTCTTTGTGTTTCATAGTTATTGTTGTTTTTTCTCTCAGAATTTAATTACTTTTGAATCTTTACAGCTTATAACGGAAGCCATTGTATAAATTTGTATCATTGTTTTTTATCCCAATTTTAGCATATAGTGCTATGATTTTTTTTCAATACCCATATATATATGTAATGTTTGTAATGTTTAGTATTTTTATGCTGGAGAACCCATTGAGTCGCAATACACGTCCTAATGTCTCGTTAATTCGTTAATACTGGGACGCGGCAGTTCAGATTTGATCAACCTGGTGCGATAAAGATTTGGTCAGATCGACCTGGCAGAATAGTCGGACTTTAGCGACTGACGTCATTACGAAAACTCCGACTAATTGTTGGATTAAGTTGACCCACATGGTGTATTATTATGTGCCTTTTATAAACCTGATTCTTTTATATGCTTTTATTATACTCTTTTTATATCTATTTATCATCTAATAAACAATCATTGTAATATAAACAGATTTTTTATACATTAAATTGAAGAGTGTTGTGGATGGAAGGGGGTATAGTGTTTGAATGGAAGGGAATATAGTGGCTGGATGGCAGGGAGTATAGTGTCTGGATGGTAGGGAGTATAGTGTCTGAATGGTAGGGAGTATAGTGTCTGAATGGTAGGGAGTATAGTCTATGGATGGTATGGAGTATAGTGTCTGGATGGTAGAGAGTATAGTCTCTGAATGGTAGGGAGTAGAGTGGCTGGATGGTAGGGAGTATGCTGTATGGTAAGGAGTATAGTCTATGAATGGTAGGGAGTATAGTGGCTGGATGGGGAGGAAGTATAGTGTCTGGATGGTAGAGAGTATAGTGGCTGGATGGTAGGGAGTATAGTCTATGAATGATAGAGAGTAGTCTATGAATGGTAGGAAGTATAGTGTCTGGATGGTAGAGAGTATAGTGGCTGTATGGTAGGGAGTATAGTCTATGAATGGTAAGAAGTATAGTGTCTGGATGGTAGGGAGTATAGTGGCTGAATGGTAAGGAGTATAGTGTCTGGATGGTAGAGAGTATAGTGTTTGGATGGTAGGGAGTATAGTCTATGAATGGTAGGTAGTATAGTGTCTGGATGGTAGGGAGTATAGTGGCTGAATGGTAAGGAGTATAGTGTCTGAATGGTAGGGAGTATAGTCTATGAATGGTAGGGAGCATAGTGTCTGAATGGTAGGGAGTATAGTCTATGAATGGTAGGAAGTATAGTGTCTGGATGGTAGGGAGTATAGTGGCTGAATGGTAAGGAGTATAGTGGCTGAATGGTAGGGAGTATAGTCTATGAATGGTAGGGAGCATAGTGTCTGAATGGTAGGGAGTATAGTGTCTGGATGGGAGTATAGTGGCTGGATGGTGGGGAGTATAGTGTCTGGATGGTAGGGGGTATAGTCTCTGGATGGTAGGGAGTATAGTGGCTGTATGGTAGGGAGTATAGTGTATAATATTACAGTATTATCGTTTACATTCAATTACTCAGTTTTCCAACTTTTACAAATCCACTCTGATGAAAAAAGAAAGCGAAAAATACTCCGTTTCATTTCGCTTATTATTGTACGTGTAATATTTAGAGGACAGCCTTAATATTTAGTCTACCTATTCTTATAAAGCTGCTTCACTTTGATAAGATCTAAACTCTTTAATGAATAATTGATATACACTTTATGGGATTCTATTTCTCACATTATGAATTCTTATCTATTTCATTTAATAGCACTTAATGGTTAATTTCATTTTTTGAAGTTTCCATTAAACAACAGTTAACACGGTTGCTGAATAGAAAGGCGCGCTTTTACAAATTCTTAACAATTCATAGGTTTCAGCCTCCGTTAGTCTTTGTGTCTTGTGGGAATTCTACGGATAGGAGATTTCAACATCTTTTCTCAACGTTTCGGTTTGACTTGGAACAATGTACAGGTTTGTTTTACGACAATACACCCACGTCTTAGACACTGATTATCCCCTTTGAAGGAAATTATATGGTATGATGACATATATTATGTGAAGTCTATTTTATATGTTTCCAATATTACAGTTTTTGTATAATAGAAATGGACTTTATCACGCGATATTCTCTTTGATTGGCGACAATATTCTAGTTTAGTCTTAGTTCTGTAATCGTCACGGATGACAACGTAGTTTTTGATTGCTCTCAGAGATATATAGGTCAATTGGTTATATCAATCAGATATTTAAGCATCTTCCCTTTGATGGATATTCCTATTCATGGAGCCGATGGTCAAGCTTAGGGGGTCACTTCCTTGTTTATTTCATTTTAATTAGCTGTGTGACAGTGCTGGGGAAATTCGGACTTAACTTCACAGAGTTTAAGAGTTTTATTCCTTAATAAAAGGTTCTGCTGCTAAGAATCGATTGAATCCATATAAAAAACAATGTGGTTTTCTCTTGGGTCTGGGTTTCAGAATTAATCTGTATATCATTGAGGCTAATCAGCATACAGGTTCGATCTCAAAGCAGAACACAAGAATTTTCGTCCAAATCGATCTCAGATTACGTCTTTTGTGTCGGTTATTAAAGGGCTAAGGGCAAAGATATCCAAAAGAAAAGGTAGCGTCTGAGCAAACGATTTTGTGTCAGATCAAAGTGTTGAAAAATTGTAAGCGGACAATTAATCTAGTTTTCTGTAATGGTATCAGATAGATTGTTAACTGACGGAGTTGAGGTGAATTTTGCCCTGAGGTCGCAATGTTACATCAGATAATTAAAAAAATGTCTTGGTTTTCTCGTGCACTCTGTTTTTAGTCCATGAACATTTATGATGCTTTAAAATGTATCAATCGGTGAATTTTATGCAAAAAATGCCATGTGAGGTCAATTTAGTGGATTATTCACTCACCAAGATAGTGAGGTTTTTTTTATTCTTGGTACATATCTAATCAACAAAAAAAGAAAAAAAAACATAACTCGTCAACTTTTTAACGTGAATGGTCGACACATATAACATTATTCAGGGCTTCAAAGATGGCTTATTGAAGAGAATAAATAGCATACAACTAATCCTGTAATTCTGCATCTTTCATTATCTGTGATAGAGAAATGAAATACGTTTTGTTAAAAGAAAAAGGATATCTAGATGTTTCAATTACGTCCTTTTTTAGAATTTCTGCACCGACTTCAATGATCTTAAAAGATTTTAAACCGAGTTCAGAAACACTCTTGTCGTTACCGTTAATGAAATCCTAATGACGTGGTACAGACAATAGCTGATGAATGTTTATATTTGGTGGCAATAGAAATACCGTTAAAACACAATCAAGATAGTGAATGGTAATGAAAATAAATTAAGTCGTCTATATATTTCAAGAGTAGTGCAACGGCAATCTTGCCGTTTTGATTTTCATGAAACACCAGTTCCGATTTACAAGGCAATGCCTTGAGAGGACTACAAGTTATCACCAAGCTGACTATAAACTACGTAACTATTTTCATCATAAATAATCACCATCAGATATCATTTCGTTGCGTTACAGCAGTCGTAGATAAAGTCCTCGCCTTGTCACCCAGAGTTAAAATAAACTACTGAGGTTACTAAAAATCCAAACTACGATTTGTATACAATGAAATGAAAATAAATTTTCCAACCAAAAAAACGGACAACAGCTATATTTCATTGAGTATAGCTTTATCAATACACGTGGGATTTTCATAGCATAAACCTTCAAATATAATCTTTATTAAGTGCTTCTGAGCCTAATACACTAGACGGAAAGTGTGCATTTTCATTTTAATAAACACAATATACAGTAAATTAGTGCTCTGTTCAATAGACGAGAAAATCGAAGCAGAAATAATGGAGTCTTGTAGAGTTTGACGTAATACTTTAAGAGGGACTATATTTTTCTATTCAAATTACCTCAGTCCATGAAAGATGTAGTAAGCGGAAGGTTTCTGGGTAATAAAGGTTTTATTGAGATGATAAATTTAGAAGATATTCAATATTTCAGACATCGGTATTAGCTGAATGAATTAAACTAGCCATTCTACCAAACCGCGAACTATTACTGAATGTCGACTGTCGACGTGGTTTACGACGAGGTTTACACTTACACAACGCTTTATGAAAACTTGTTCTAAAGTTTTGACTAAATATACTGTATAAAATAGGATTGGCAGCCGAATTGATGTAGGCTATTATCATCACAAACACTCTAAATGTCCAATTGTCGTGAAAATGTTTAGGATTAAAGGTATTGTATACCAACAAAACTTGGTGAGGTGAGTAACTGACAAAATACACCACAACACTCATGATTAACATTTTCACTACTCCTTTCCGAGCTTGCACCGCTTCAGACGATCGCTCTTTAGCAAAACCATTTTCATCCAGCACTGTTAAACGCCGGTGTAATTTTTCAGATCCCATAAATAGGTGTTTGGCTACAATACAATATAACGCCACTTGTATCATTAATGGAAAAACATAAAATAATCCGAATTCTGTGTATTTAAACACAAGAAAATATAAATCTGGATTCTGTGGAAATGATAACATACAGTATTTTAATCCAGGTAGGTTGGGGTGTCCTGGTAAAATTTGATTAAAGATTAAAGTTGGTGCTCCTGCTAAACACGATGAGGGCCATATTAAGGCTATCACAACCACGATTCGTCGTCTGTTACATAGTATATGAGCTTTTATAGGATGTATTATTCCAATATACCTGGAAATAGAAAAAACAAACCTTAAAATATCTTGAAGCATAAGATCTATTTCCATATTTTGACCTAAAATGTTTTCGAAAACATAAGTATAAATAAATACAGAGAAAGTGTTTGGTTGTGGACAAGTTCGATTCTCTTCTTGTTATTCAAAATGAATGTCGAATATTATGGAACCAAAATAAGTAAAATTCAACATATCTTTAAAGGAGCGACGAGGCAGGTCTGAGAGCAACATCATCTGTAAGAATTTGACCAATCTCGTGTAATTGGCGGTGGTATTTGGAAGGTACAGTTCAATGAGTTGTAATTCAATCAATGTTAAATTGACAAAATCTGTAGAGTGATACGGTATTAGATTTTTAATGGCAATTACTGTGATGTGTCTTAAAATGAATCATGTGCGAGTCCAAACAAAACGATTCAGATTAACAATTACGCAAGTCTGATTGCAATAGATGGCCATTACTACGTACTCAGCGTTCAACATAAAATACAAAATTTCACATGTATGCCCTCTCTTAGATATATCTTTAGTCTGTTTAATGAAGCTTTTCAACTGAACACAAGGAGGCGAGAAATCGCGGTCGTTAGAGAATAAATTGTTGGGTTAATGCCGACGAAGATCTGTCTTCATCTATAATAAGATAATCGGTCGCCTGTATAGGAGACTTTATACAGTCATAACTGTGTCACTAATGTAGGGACGTCACGTTACGTTCCTTATATTAAACTTATTAAATATCTCATGTATTCATTACTGTTTATAATTAGAGATGTTGAGGTTTTAATCAGAACTCTCTATCAAATATGACTGGCTACATGGAGAAAACTAGGAATCTGGTAGTCTACAATATTATGATCCAATTATTCTGTCGTCAGGCTGGTAGACTAAACCTTCATCAACAGGTTCATTGCATCATGAAAAATATCCAGAACAAGTTAGGCTTAATTTCCCGGCATAATTTGAAGCAACGTGACCAGAAATAATGATAGTTAAAATCACATAGACACATAGTTATCTGACCCAAGTAAAACACTGTAAGGTAAGAAACTTTACTCACTGAAGATAAAATGCAAATTTGACACAAGGATAGTGCAGAAGTGAACTAATCTGAACATAGTAATAATCAGCTATTGAATACCAAATTAGCTCAACACTGGTTAACACTTCTTAACAAATAAGTTTACTGCAGGACAGACAATTAAATATTTTACAAATAAAATTCTAAAACGTGTTTAACATTGAAATATCTAGATCACCGGGACGAGGACCGAAGCTTGAGAACATTAACCAACGTAAAATACATAAACGATAACATCAACTCAAGCAATAATATACGTCACATGAGTTCAAATTACATGACATAAAAACAAACATAGAAAATATTCCAAGATGTCAGTTCAGGATTGATAAAAAATATACCTGTTCGTTAAATAATATTATTCCCTTTTTAAAATTTCCTGGAAAACAATTGATATTTTATTTATATCAGTTCGTATATCTGGACTGTGATCATGGATTACAATTTGATTATTTATGCCTATAAGTCAGTTTTCCCCTTTCCCTTATGGCTCATTCAAGTATTTCAGAATCGAAATACAGGATTCATGTCATTCAGTGGCATCAGTTTCATAGACGTGGGTGGCATCTGAGCGCCCCCAGACCCCCTTTCTGGATTTAATAGGGCACTAGATAAGTTTGCATTGCTTAATGTTATTAATGACAAGGATGACAGTATTGACCGGGCTTTTAGAAATATTCGTTCCTTGGCTGTATTATATTAATAAATCTAGTGTTGTTTATGAAGAAAATTTAATGCATTATTTCTGAAAATGGCATAACTACTCTGATCAAATTTTGACATAATAGAGAATAATATTCTAATTCTAACCCAGTTTACCTTTTCCTAAATATGATTGAGGAATAAGATCGATGCTATAACCTACATCATCGTATATAACTAGTGTTCACATACTATTTGAAGCCGTGTCAATCGTGAATACATTTATATAACAGGTCACATTTACTTGGCAAATGACCAAGAGTCCAATATTTGGAGTCCATTATTAATGTCAATTTGCCATTTGCCATAATGGTACTCCAAGATGGTGTCTTCTCCTAAGGGATACTTAACGTATTTCACGGTTATCTAACAGTTTAAAATATACAAATATACCACGTTTTCACACTGATTTACCTTCAGTTCAAACTGTTAGTGAAGATATTGTTCTGGAGTTTAGAACAACTTTGAGTGGAAAGGATATTCTAGTTTTTGCCACAGAAGGAAACAGCATCATGGGGTTTGCTACAGATGACAATCTGAAACTACTGTGTAAGACCACCGAAGTACAATGTGATGGAGCCGTTAAAACTACCCCAAAACTTTATTTTCAGTTGCACACATTTCATGTTGACATTGGGACCAATAGCAATCCAGAATTAGTACCATTACTGTATGTCCAAGCCATAATAAAGGAGCATTACAATAACATGAAATTTAATGGTGAAAAAGTTCATGTTATATAATCCACCGAAGATACGTAAAATTTGCAAATTACCCATTTTCAGAGTCGTATAAATAAAGAGGTTATGTACCAAAATCAGGATCGCAAATGTCAATCCAGTTAAAGGAGATGCTGAAGTAGAAAGATGGGGGTTGGCTCGTGGTCAAAAGTTTTTACTACTTGAAATGTGGCCTGGTAGAAAAAACTTTGAAAGGAAATTGTGCACAGACAAAGTCGAAATTAAAAAAAATGCTTCTAGAGGACCTAGGTATTTTTCTTACTTACATTTTAAAGTTTGAGAACAATCGGATATAAAATGTAGTCCGCATTAATTTTTTAAGATTTTTGCTTTTTTCAAGATGACAGCCAAACGGTTAGGAATTTGCATATACGACAAAGGTACAAACTGAAAATATTGATGGTGCAAATTTTGTTGAATTACAAATTTGCAAGTTTCCGTGAAACATAGTCTGAATACTCTGATTTTTGTGATTTTCGGCCTTTTTCGTTCACTTTCAACCATTTTCCGAAATGTTTTTGCATAATCATAATTGATAATTTGGTTTCTACCCATCTACCAAGTTTCGGGAATATGGAATAAAAATTACAGTCAGAATTTTGAACAAAATTCATTACAAAAAGTTAGTGACAAAATTTTCGAATCAGGATTTTCTAAAACAGCAGTCTGTTTTTCAAGAATACAAACAGAAATTTTAAGGCAAATCGAACAAAAATAATGCATTTTATGGCGGATTTTTAAAATTAAGGAGTTTTCCGCTACACCATTTCCTGTTGGAGTCAGATGTCTGGAAATATATTCAAAGGGTAATTCCGCGGTCTGGAATGTCTGACCAAATGCCAAAAATGTTCTAAGTATTACAGTTTTTGCTAGGTTCTCTGACAACAATATGAACAAAAAAATACAAACTAAAAAATTCACGATAACAATACAGCTTCCGAGATTAACTCGAAAGCTGTAATAATGCATGTTTCACTGCATTACATGCAGAGCTTTTTTATTGGTATAGTGATCTAGAAATATTGAGTATAATGATGTCTAATTAGATCGTGGACAGCAACTGGAGTAACCTTAAGATAGTACAGTTTCAATATAAAGTACAACTACTTAATGGCAGAAAAAAAGAAAGATTGCGTACAAATGATTTAAATTTAAGTAAAAACTGAAGCCCAGGGGAAATTAGTGTTTGGATAAAAAAAATTTAGAACGTCGATTAAATCGCATAATGTGCTAGGAATTTTTTTAAGGAAATAAATTATTCTCTTAACGTTCATTCATTAATAACTAGACAGTCTTTAATTGGAAACTACACAAATGTTTACTTTACAATGATTAACGTAGACTCCATTAAACCGGGCGAAATGGCCTTAAAAGCCTTACCTAAAAGTTCAATATATATATACTAACACAATTTTTGTGCACATAGAGGGATCAATAGACTGCCTCCTGACCAAACATGTTTAGCTAAACATAATATTCGTTTCTAAGTTTTGTCTCAGCACAACACTTTCATGATAAAGATAGATAGCCAGGTAACATACGCCCAATACCAGCTGTCAGAAATGGTAACAAAATCTTTTGTGGCTTACTAATGAATTTTCAAATAATCTATAAAAATCATCTATAAATCAAAGCAAAAACCTGAAATAGTTCATCAATTTATCATCAAATTCAAAAATGAAAAATGTCTCATCGCTGTACACACAAGAGCAATAAATCCGAAACCGTTCATCCGCTTCTTACCAATTTTGAACGAGATATCATCAATATATACATGCATACCTACTAGTTTCATCAAGATCGGATAAAATGTCGTATTCTCTATCGTGTCTACAATCCAAATTTGACGCGGTTTTACTAAGTCAAGGGCAATGACTCTGAAACTGTTCATCCGATTATTACCAAATTCGAACTTAACCGACATCTCATCAATATGTACATCCTACCAAGTTTCATAAATACTGTAGCCTCTATCGCGCCTACAAGAAATGTGAACGGACCAGCTGACGGGCGGACTGACGGACAGGAGCGACGGCAATTAACGTCCACATTTCCATGTGGGCGTATAAAAAGTCAGGAAAGACAATATTTTTTTCAAATTATATGTGCAATATCTTTAGTATGAAATAGGCTCTAAAAGTAGGAAAATTGTGGCGATGTAAACGTCGACCATAAAGTTTATAATCCAATTTCAACGTTCGCCTATGTTACTTGAATTTACCAATTATTATTATGGATATTCGGCTTCGAGTACAATACAATTAATTTGAATGAAAAATCAAGGAAATAACTTTTGGTAATAATTAAATAACCACATCTCTTTAAATGAAAAACCATTATTGGCTGTAGGTAGCGTCCTAATATAGCATACATAACAGGTAGAAAGTGATTTGCAAATCTGCGAGAAGGTGGTCGATTTATATAAATAGCACAATCATCACTAACTAGAGGAAATAATGCCGACTAACAAAAGTGCGTCGAACAGTGGGTGCTTTGTGTAAGAGTGTAATTGTTGGTGTGTTTTTGGCAGATTGTGAGGATAAAATCTACCATGAAGACCTACCTATGTTTCTACAAAAGATACAAACGTCATCTTTGTCTTATAAGCACTAAAGAAACTAGAGTTTTCAATCGATGAAATAGGAGATACTAGTGTGGATTAAAGCCCATGGTTAGAAAGCTGTCTGTACTCTTTGCAGTAACACTGACATCGTTACAAAGGCGGAAAAAAACTGAACTATACGCCTCTGTGTTTTAGATTTTTGTGGAATCTTTTTCAGCGACATCAGATTGGGATCTTATTACCAACAGTGCCGTATCCGTTTCATTTTCATTTCCACATTTTTTTCTGCAAAGATTATTGAAATATGATTTATATCCTTGATAAACTAATGAGGGGGAAAAAGTGCAATTATTATTTTTGAGTAAATCATATCTGTTAATATGTTAAGGCAATAACATGTCATAATGACAGGAAGGAAAATATTATGTTTTTTAGTATTAGCTATTTGCCATTAACGAATATTGGATGAAATTCAATTCCTTGAGTGCAGAAATTTATTTCATTCTCTATTTTGGACATTTATCACTTGATCAACAAAGTTCGATTTTCTTATTACATAAAATTGTCTTCAAATCTAATATTTCTGAAAATCAAACTGAAAATATGAACTGGAATATGACATAATGTGTCTTTAAGGCAGCTGACTTAATAACTCGCACTTCATAATATATTGCCAATGTTAACGGCATTGTCAAGAACGTTTTCCATACAATTACATTGTCTATCTTAATACATTCGGTAAATAGTAATTCTCATATTAATCAGACGCCGTCAATAGAAGGAAATTACTTTGACAAAATGGAAATATTATTACTTGTGGTAATCTATTCTATTTTTAATTTCTAGATTAGGTCATTGCCTAAGTCCCATCTTGAGAAACACAGTTTTTTGTCTTCATATGTTGAGCTACACAAAGTAGCTTAAAGGTTATTAACAATTCTCTTTCAACTTAATTTATCACTTTCTCCATTTCTTTCCTTTATTTTCTAAGACATGTTCTACAAAACAGAGTTATCCCATTCGCAACAAATAAAATTACGTAATTATATCAATGGTTACACGACCAATGCTGGCTGTCAAAATGTATCTAAGAAAATTGAATCAGACGTGTTTTAATTCCAGGGAGTGTTTGGTGCATCTATGCTTTGTCTTTATTTATCAAATATTTATCTGTTATTTCATGGTCTTTCTTTTGGGAGAAAGAGGAGAAATTGCTGGGATAGTTTAGGCTGCCACTGTGCATGACAGGAATAAAATTTTACACAATTTTCTCCTGAATATTTTTTACTTTTTACAAAAGCACAACTTGTATCACACGCGGTTGTTTATCCCTTTCCTTTTCCCTTCTTCACAATTCAAGCTATAACGAACTTCGTACTTATACCTTGACTGTAATAGTCGCTATCCTTGTATCACAGAATGCTGCGAATGTTTGCCAGAGAATACAGCCAATCAGAACACCCAACAGCAACATAAGCATTGTGCATCTACAGACTTCTGTCGAGACCTCTGATTGGCTCTATTTTCTTGTACACATTTTTATCTAATCAATTCACCATGATACACGAATAGTGGCTGCTACAGTTCAGGTATAAGTACGAATTTCGTAATGGCTTGAGATTTTGAAGATGTCCTTCTCAAAGAATATCTGTCATAAAATTAAAAGGTACATGTGAAAGTTCTCTACAACATATACATTTGACAAATCTCGACATTTATAGTCAAGTTGAATGTTTTCAGAGCGTTTAAAAATATACATATTCGGCTTTTCGGACACTACCGATAGTTGCCAAATGCCATAAAAGAAAGTTTCCTTTGACACCCTACAAAAATATCAATTTTTTCTCCCAAATTACTTTTACATGCATTTTATCTTCAATTCCAATTCACAACAAATATACAATATTCATGATCCTAAACTCCAATGGATTTCATGGATTTCACACTCTCATTTACAGCATTCTAATAAAAAATATTTACATGTACTTGGTATTCTCTCTGGATAAGTTACATATGAAATTGCTAGCAATATTTCCTATTGTAGAAGGAACACAAAAATCTATCTGTGAACAGCTCAGAGCAAGGCAACGAGACCTTATCCCATGGATTTCTGAATAGTGTTAACTTTCAACTTCGGTGCTTTTAAGCCTACACATTTTTGAACAAAACCAAAAATTTACGGTTTCTGGTTAATAAATCAGTTATATAATTACACTCCAGAAATGTTACCTCAATGTTCTCAAGTTGTAAAAAATAATAGAACTAATTTATACCGCATCACGATAAACCTCTCAATTAATCAATTGACAAAAACAACACACGTAAATTATCAGATTTGTCACCCGCGATAGGAGTTTGATAATATGACTGGAATTCATCTTTGATATTTACATCTTCAATAAACATTCATTAAATTGGCTTAAAAATTCTCAGAATGCAAGAGAGCATATTATGTTAAATTACATGGAGAGTGTCTCAACTTACCCAGATGAGCCAGTGACAGTCTTTAAAATGAAGGGTTTCCAAATTTTGTTGAAAGAAAGTGTAATCTCCAATTTACATCGTATGTTTATTTAGGTTTGAAAAAGATACTCTCCTGTAGAAACACGTGCATATTGAACAACTATTAGAAATTATTTCGTAATTTGAGTTCTAATCAAGATAGAAAAAAATTGCAACGGTTAAATAACTTGCGAATTCACAGCTTTAAATGTATACATGTTTCAAATTTGAATGTAAACATTTTTCAAAAAAATAAATGAATTTTATAATGGTTAAAAAAATTACTCACTGATTTGACAATTCAAAGTTCAAAACAAAAGATTTATTACCCATGTTCTATAGCACGCTGAACATCCCAATCATTTTGATACGTTAGGACTCTATGAGATAAAATCAAAACTTTTAATTTATTATTTAGAATTTATTCAAATTTAATGATATGAATTTTATATCAAACCATCCGTGTCAATGTCGTTAAAGAGAGAATTACGAATGTTTCTAATAATGTAAACCACATGTGGAATAAATGCATTTGACTGGAGTTGAAATTTTCAAAAAAAATTTCAAAATATTTTCATGCATTATTGCCATAAATCATTATAAAGAGAATTTTAAAGTCATTAATAATCTGAAAAAAAAACAAGCCCCTGTGTTTATTAGAGAATGTGTTATAGTCGTCCAAAGTTGCAAAAAATGTAAGATTTCGGTGCGCTAAAAAACCGGAAGTTTTTCATACAATATCAGGATGAGGTCAAGCTGAGGTCAGGCTGAGGTCAAGAACAGTCGATTCAAGGTTATTGAAGGTCAGGGTAACAAGATATACACTTTTAAATTTTCAAAGCATACAAACTGCCATAAAAAAAAACAATTTAAAAACCTATTGACAAAATTGGTAGCAGCTAATGAAGTATATAAATAATAAGTGAGTAAGTATTTCATTATGGTAAGTTGTATCAGGTATCTAAAAGAGTAAGCACATCCTGCCTGGCCCCACAATCTGTACGGTTTTAGTCTACATTTGTTAATTACACCGGAAGCAGGGTCGCCCAAGGTGATATTTAGAAACGGGAAGTTCTCACGCCCAAACAACAAGTGATTTAAAAAATTTTATGACACAATTTTATTTGTATTGGCATTCTGTCTATTTCCTGTAATTTTCAGATCGAGCCTAGATTAATTATAAGTTGGAACTGTTGTTTTTTTTTATTAAGGCCAGGTCTTATCTTAACGTTTATGGACCTTTTCCCCAAATAAAGCAAGTAAAGCGTGTATATGTTTACATTTTAATAATTAAATCACGATTCCGTTTACACGTATCACGCAGTTTGATGGATAACAGCGATCAAGTGCATTAGGTTTATATCTGTATAAACAGAATGTAAATATAAGCTCCACTCCTAAACGTTTATCAATATCATTGAGTTTGATTGACGGCGTCGATGTTGTTCCTTTGAACGTCAACAGAGCCGAAATCGACTATTCACTGAAAGATGCCGGTATTTTCCAAATTCCCTTGAATGTGTACATTCCAATTTCCAACAATATCATATCAACAATACACAGTTTTTTTCTGTTTAAACATCGATATACTTAAAAAATATTCACTCACATTTGCAATAATTATTGAAATGGATAACTGAAATTGAGGTCAATAAACTAGAAAATCATATACTATAACTTCTATTCCTCTTTTCGTTTCGTGCGCTATTAAACTCAAACCGTCCATTAGATGGTGATTTATGATTTATATTTAGTATTTTAATACAAACGTGATCTAATCTAATCAGCATGACCTTTCAGATAAAATAGGTACATGTATAAACAGAAAGTCACAGACACTTTAAGAAATCGTATAACTGGGTCTAATTCAGCCGCTAGTTGTTTGCCCAGCTCTTATGGATTTCACTGTATTATTTTCTATAGTTTTATTGTCGATGGACAAGGCTGAAGTATTTATTCCAAGGGAAATCTATAGATCTTCCAATAACCCACACACGATTTTCAAAAAAGTAATATTTTGTCCGTAAACATTAAATATTTAAAGAGAGCTCCCGAGGGCAGTCAAAATACTTTTAGCGTAATATAAAAATCAATCCAGACAGTCAATAAAGTTTAAAACATCGATATTGCACTTTAAAGGAGGATGGTCTAGATCTCTTGGCCTTATTGCACGAAATTAGATGTCATTTAGAAGATAGTATCTTCAAGAGTTTTGATGGGACCGTCTTGGCTTTGGATTGACCTTGCTTCTACGAAGCCTTATCAGCGATATTGTAAAATGTCAGCAAATTAGCCAGTGGTATTAGTAGTGTAATTTTCTAACTATCTACCGAACCAGCAAAACAGACCAAAATAAGTAGTAACAAGATTGGTGGTACTAAAACACTTACCGTTCTATGCAGATAGACATTAATGTTAATACAGATCCATATAAACTTGTTACTAAAATATATCTGTTAGTTTTACACGATATAGTGTCTAATATCCAACCTTTGTTTATCATAAACTGGACGATTTCTGGTATACCAAATATCATTATTAAGATGTCAGCAAACGCCAAGTTCGTAATCAGTAAGTTGGTTCCAGACGCCCGCATCTTGTTATCACATAGAATCGCATACATCACCAATCCGTTACCCACAATTCCTACTATCCCAATTACAAAAAATATAAAGCTGAAACATATCACTTCCGGTAGGCCTGCAGCAAATGATAAATCCGAACCTGCGGTTGAACTGTTGGTTAGGTTAAATTTCCATACATTCGTTATGTTATCCATGATCATTTCTGGTTGTTGGCACGTGTCGTTTCAAATCTAAAATAATAAAAAAAAGTGTGAGGTAAAATACAGATTGACTTAGACTAGGAAAGGTGTCAAGGTTTTATAGGTTTTGGCATTTTGTTGTATGTCAACATTTTTTTAATGTGTTTCGGTGTAACAGTTGTGCAGATTGTAGTAATGAATAATCCCAGTATTGTACACAAACCGACTAGAGCTCTATTAATATAACCATCATATTCTTTTACCAACAATCAAAGTAAGATCAGGATCAAAGACATGGGTGCACCGAGATACACCAGACATGGGATATGGGATACACGAATTTCATATTATGTCTGGATAGATGATGGGAATTGCGATGGTAAAAATGTTTTGTCGTTTGAATGGGACTATAAACAGGGGCCTTGTGTCTGAAGACCTCTCCAGTTACCATCAAATAAGAGCAAGCTAATGCCGCTGCCTAGGCTAAATTTATCTCATCGCACACTTCATGGAATTGCCCATTCTTCATAACCCATACAGGTTCAGAGAAGAAAAACGTAAAACTCCATTTCATTTCAACATGGTAATTGGTAACGCAAACGCATTGGCATTTAAATCAATTGGTTAATAAATTGAAGTTGTAAATGTTATCAAGACACCAGCTGCAACCTATATAGAATAATGCATAATCTAAACAAATCAACTTGAATGCAATAATATTTCATTTTCGACATCAGAACAGCATTATAAATTTCTTAAACTTTTAACATGCATTGATTTTCAACTCATAATTTAAAATGTCTTATTTCATGTTGACAACTGCTTGTGGCAGACAGGTCATTCTAAAGAAAGCGAGTTTTTGTCACTCTTAGCTCTAATAATCAATTCTATCCCACTCAAGTCGTGTTGAATTAGTAGTGGTATTTTGCATTGCGCTGCCTACAGTATATGGTTTCTATTTCTTTTTTTTTTTCACTTTAACGAAGATTGTAACAGTAGTGCAAAAAGGGAGCAAATATAAATTTTGACTTGAGAAAAAAAACAATTGCATTTCTCGGAGTCTTTGGAATATCTGATTGTATAAAAACCCACAGACTGTTATAATGGTTGTTTTTGGTATATTTTTATACACTTAAATGCTTCTTAAATTGAGAAAATGTTCATGAATGAAGCATGCCTTACCTTAAAAACAGAATGATATCACACAACAATTTGGTTAAAGCCGATATAAAACGTTAATGGTAAAAACGACAGACAGTCAGTGAAATTTCAATTTATGAACACTATAGTATAAACGCTTATAATATGATAAGTTATACTATAGTATATTATCCGATTTATAAAATATATACATCCAAATACAATAGTCCTTGGAATAAAAATGAGATTCAAAAGATAGAAACAAAACAGTAATTTTCCTTCGTAGAGTTCATCAATATATTGAATTTAATGATAATTTTTTAGAACACTGAAGTGGGACCAAAGTAATCAAATGATTTCACAAGTATCACTTAAAATGGAACTTTTCTCACAAAAATACAACATTGTTAAATTATTTTCCAATAATCATTCCTTTTATTGAATATCTACTGTTAGTTACTCTGTATATCGTTTTAACTTAAATATACTCTTGCTTTTATTGTTTGTATAAATCAATGAGATGTGAATTCAGAAAAATAAAACATAAGCATCAAGAGATTCCTATGGTTCTGAGAGTCTATGTATCTACTAATCAGCAGTAAACCTCAGTTCAGATAACTATCACCTATATCTATCAAACAGAAGTGTGCCTCAATTGAGATAACTATCACTTACATCCACTAAGCAGCAGTAAACCTCAATTCAGATAACTATCACCTGTATCTATCAAACAGCAGTATACCTCAGTTGAAATAATTGTTACCTATATCTAAACTGCAATAAACCTCAGTTCAGATAACTATCACCTAAACCTACTAAAAAGAAATATAACACATATCAAATAACCGTCACCTGTATATCTACTGAATAGCAGTTTACCTCAATTTGGATAACCATCACCTATGTATGTATTATCTACAGAATAGCGGTGTACCTCAGCTTTATAAATCTGAACGTTACTGAACATTACCCCTAAAAATAGTATTTCATTACCCTAAGGGCTTTACTAGACAAACTATAAGAAATGGAAACAAATAGGCACAATGCTCCCAGATTAGCATAAGTTATTACTTTTTTTTATTTCAAGTGTATAGTATTACTAAAATATCGTTGAACCAAATGGCACAACTTAACTTACCTGTATTTCATCAACACTAAACACAGAATCTGTGAAATTCGCCAATAGTGTCGACACTACAACACATACAATCATGGTAGGAAATACATAAATCTGAGGTGCTTAACCAAATTTTTCTTATCAAAAAGAGAATCGCAAAATATTGAGGTTTATATGCGTGCAAGAGCAGTATATTAAGAAACTCATTATTATTTCTGGTATGTATTAGAATTTTTAGAAAGAAACCTTACCTTTTGCAAAGTGGTATTCATTTGTAAGTCCACGATGAAATGATAATCAACATTAATAGTTGTGAATATATTTTCTGTTAACCATCAAGATTTTAGGATAAAATTGCCAAGTCTTTAAAAAAGATAACAGCACTTCAAATTAGAGTAAACCCAGTCACAATTTATAAAAGTATTAAAAAAATATAAACTTCCGCCAATTATTAAACAACTTAGTAAGAAATCTATTAAATGAATGATTTCTTCTCGGCTATAACACATACAGAATCGGAATCAAGGATCACAAAAAATAGTATCAAGTCAATATGCTTCTGTCTTAAAATGTCCGACCACATGGCAAGCTGTTAATAAGTCCTAAAGAGTTGCCATCGTAAATCGTTCAGTCCATATTGATTTCGATAGGAAACTGTTGACATAAAGGTTGTGCGTCTATTGTGATAATATGAACATATGATGTCCGAAGTGGTTCACAGTTTACATTGTTAAGAAATCGGTGTGTTCTTAATTGAATGGAAGCATATCGATTTCAAATATTCTTACTCTTATTTTCATCGGCTATTTACTATATTATACAAAGCTGCTGTCTGTATATATTTCTCATGAATCAAATTTTTTGACAAGTTAAGAAAGTAAAATTAAAATTTGCTAGGACACCCACGGAGAAGTAAAATAACTTAGATATGAAATAAAAAGTCCTATGTATTCAATACGGTTTCAGATACCGCGTACAATATTATAAATTTTCAAACTGTTATCACACTGTATGCATTCTCTCCATGGGTCTTTGTATCATTACGAACTAATAAAGTATATGATTCATTTCTGTTACATATAACTGGAATTAAACTTGAAAAGTTCGATGTTATTCCAAAAAGGTTTCTAAATATAAGGGTAGACCACTCCGCTGGCCTTAAACATGCCCTCGTATCTAACTGCCCAGCGTCATATTGTCAATCAGTCGAAGAAGAGAAGAATATTAAATTTTCATTTCATTTCTTTTAATATTCACCCAGTTCTAATTGATCTCTGTGAACTTAATCCGCTTTTGGCGTTGATCAGATAAGTTCAAAGACAATTTAGCATATCATAAATCTTACGCTCCTAAAACGATTAGCACTATCTATTTCGCAATGTTGAAAGATCAAAAAGAAGTCAAACATCTTCTAAATTACCATATAATGAAATCTGATCGACAGCCATTGTCTTCAGCAATGGTGAAACTTTGCCAGAAATGCTTTTTTTTTTCAGTTTCCAACTGTCGATGGATCTTTAACGATCACAATCTGTAAAAACAGGAATTATAATTGATATCATTTTTCCATGTCAGCCCATCCGACCGGCATCACTGACAGGTGAGTATACATGGTTGAAATGTTGAATGTATAAACGACAACAGGCGTATATTACGCCTATTACTGTTTGTAGTTATAACTGTTTGAAACAGTTGTTTCCCTTTATCTGAACACAAAAATTTCACACTGGTGACAAGTAACACTATGGTATCTTTTTTACTGTATATAAATACACCAAATACTAACGATGCGCACAACGAAACCCGAAATCCTAAAATAACATAATGGCGAAACATTGACAGAATCTAATGAATATTTCTCTTGGGAATTAAATCATTCGTTAGTGAGTAAGTATTTCATAATTTAAAAAGTTCAAGGGAGGTAACTGATGAAAATAGTTTGTTCAAGGAAGGAAATGTTTACAAAGGTTATTTAATGTCCAGAAGTTTTTCTCTAATACCTGCAACAGTGAGGAAGCATTTTATAATGAAAAGTGACATAAAGTGTCCACAAGAGTAAGCATTACTACATGGTGCACAATACTACAAGAAAATATGGAGGCAAAACAAAAGACTAGGGTTAACTAAAATTTTAGAAACATCTGATGGCAACTCGACAATATGATAAGTCATAGCCTATGACAATGGTTTAACGCGGTCCTTAAATATTAACTTCTGCGACAATAATAGAAACAGATGTTATAGTTTTCGATTAGGTCATGAATTAGGTTTTATGAATTTTACAGGGATTCAGTTGTAAAGTAATGAAACCAGGTTAGTCCACTGATGAATATACTATATAATATATATAATCTTATGCTCATTCTCGGAGGTGGTATTCCTTTGAGATATACGGAGTCGATCTGAAACGCTTTGTCAAGTTTGCTCTGCGTCATTAAGAATTCCGCCTGGAAAGCCCACCACAACCCGAATCCCTATGATCAAAATAAAAAATGTTGCCCGGTTTATTATTTTTTCTGAAGTGCGGTAAAAAAAAACTGCTAATGCCCTGTAGACTGGTGATCTTAAATCTCACCTGGTTGTTGATGCAGACAGGATTCTTGATCGTTCTTTTTTATTCGGGTCGTGAAATCTTGGATTTCTTTAAACTCTGTAATCCATCAAT